ATATATTTATCACAATATTACTGTTACGCCATTTTTTAACAAAGTTTAATTCACTTTCCTAAACAAGTTAAAAACAGCTCACAACGTAGGTAAATTATGGTTTAACTTTGGTATATGTATACAAAAAATTAAAGCCTTCATGACACCTAAAAATATTGCAATGAGAAAAATAATCATTCTATCCTGTGCTAAGAGTTAAACTATGCCCCGCGCCCAATACCCATATTGAAAGCCTAGCTCCCATTACCTTGAAATGTATTTGGAGATAGAGCCTTCAAAGGGCTAATTAAGTGAGGTCAGTAGGGTAGGCCCTAATCCAATATGAATGGTATCTGTAGAAGGTAGAATTAGGACACAGACATACCCCGGGAAGACCACTTGAAGACAGACAGAAGGCAAGCCTCTACACACCAGGAAAAGAGACCCTTGGAAAAACCAACCCTACCAACACCTCCCTCGCAGACTTTAGCCTTCAGGACTGAGGAAATGAATTTCTGTTGCTTAAGCCACCCAGCCTGTGGTTCATTATTATGGAAGCCCTAGCAGACTAATACATTCCCCTTTCCAAATACACCTTTGTCACTGAAGTTTATAGTATCTAATGCCAGTTTCAGTTTTATGGGAAACTGCCTAAAGGTCTTTGGCAAAGCTTCTTTCCACACAGATTACACAAATAAGGAGCCAGTTCTGAATTATGGAATATTTGTAAAACATTAGAAATTATCATATACTCACTTCTTAAAAGACTTACTTAAATACTAACTACAGCATTGCTTTTCATTTGGGAATTTTCTATTCTGTTTCCATATGTAAAGAAAAAAAATGTCATTTAAAGTTTAACACAGTTGTCTATATGTATTTTTTAAAATCATTGCCAAGATAAAATATTCTGAATACAATACTTTGAATTTTGAAATTATTTTGGTGGGCACCAGGTTCTAATATGTAATAAAGAGAAACAGTCTTTTGGAACTCAAACATAATAAAGTTATTATCTTTTTCTAATATCTACATGACTAACTCATAAGATTTGGCTCTTGATTTAAATTTTATCACATGCATGGTGAAACCATAATGCTTTAACTACACTAAAGAGAAATTTTTTAAGGTAACCTGCAAATATTGAGGCGCAGATAGAAATATAACTGAAAAAGGGACTAAGAAGATTTCGGGTTACTTTTCATAGCTAGGGGTGTTCAACCTTTTGGCATCTCTGGGCCACCCTGGAAAAAGAAGAGTTATCTTGGGCCACATATTAAATACACAAACACTAACAAAAACTGGTGAGCAATAAAAGGTTTTAGGTAAATTCTTGATTTTGTTTTGGGCCGCATGCAGCCCGTGGGCTCTGGGTTGGACACCCTTATAAGAGTTTATTCTGTTGATTAATGAAAAACTCAAACATTATAAACAAATGGATGCATTGACTAAATAGTTCGAGAATTCTAAAGCCAGAAGAAAAAAAAAACTCATAGGAATAAAGTGTTTATTTGTTTTTTGTTTTGCCTTTAAGAAAAGTAATGCAATTGAACATTTCATGGGGCCAGTTACATAGCAATTTCCCTACAGGGACTACATTGTTTAAAAAAATTTACATTTTCTGTACTCTTCACTCATGTCCCTCGGAGGAGTACAGGTTAAGTTCTTAAACCAACCACCTCTTCCTCTGTACATAAAACCAAACATCAATTTGGATTTAATATTCAAATATCCAATAATTTTGTTCAAGAAACAACTTCCAAAACTGGAGAGTAAAGTTCTTTAAAGTGCTACCTCAAAAATTATTTACAAATAACATGGGGCTATGATTAGGCATCACTGGAGACACTATCCTTAAGACAAAGTGTCTCTGGGGAGAGCGAAGCTCAAGGGCATTCGTGGTATCTGCAGATACTTCAGGACCTGTGTAACCATTGCCCACTGGAACCCAAAAGACTGAGGAATGTTTTCCAAATGGGAATATTAAAGGAAGGGAGGGAAAGGAAACAACCATCATCCCAGCTCTTAATCGTGAACATCCTGCTAGGCATTAAACAGGATTTATTTTATTTCTACTCCAACTTCTTTAAAAAGTATAACTCGAAACAGCTTCTAGAAATCAGCAGTTCATGGTGTAATGGTTAAGAGCATGGACTCCAGAGCCGTGTTCCCCACCCCCTGCTCTGGCTCTGCTGCTTAGCAGCTGTGTGACCTTGGACAAGTCTCTGAACCTCTCCGCACCTCAGTTCCCCTCTCAAGTGGAGGAAATAACGGAACCATGTCAGTGTGTTGTTGCATTAAGTGAGTCTCTCCATGCAAAGCCCTAGTGCGCACTTGAAATTTGGTGAGTGTCATGTAATTGCGGGTGGAAGCCGTGGTGATAGAGCAGTTCAAACACCAATTACAGCCAGAGCCCAAGGAGCTCAGCAAAACGTCTGGTGAGGATGGGTGGAACAAACCGATGAAAATTCCAGTCGAGGTGACAGCTAAACGCATTTGAGAATTTTATTTACAGACAATTTTTTCCATCTGGCTTAGGCTGTTCCAGAAATTCACATTCCCACTGATCTGAGCTGGTCCCGTGCAGCCCGTACTGGACCAGAGGACGGAACAAGCCAGTCTGTAAGGAGCTGCCTGAAGACAGCTGACCTTAGGGCTGCCCAGCAGGTGAAATCTTCAGTGCAGCATTAATGTATGCGGGGGGCATACTTTAACTCCTGGTTAAACGCACATTTAACAAAACACCAACCAAGAATATTAGAAGCAAAGGGGGATAAGTGGTAATGGAAGAAAATACAATCAAAAATAATTTAAAGAAAAAGAATATTAGGGACAGATCGTATTAGCTAGAATATTGTGACATATGGGTCCTCAGTAGTGGCCCCCGATGACCACTCACCCAAAGATTCAGCAGCCTCGTGTGAAAGCAGGGGGCGGCGGCCCCGCACGGCCCTTGACCCCAGCACATGGACTGTCCCCGCCACCAGCACACCCGAGGCCTGCTTCCCCCAGCCCAGTGCCCACCCGAACATGATGCAGCGAGAGCACTGGCAGGGTCTTGCTAGGGTTTCCATAATAATGAATCACAGGCTGGGTGGCTTAAGCAACAGAAATTCATGCTACTTTCAATTATATGAGCTGCGAAGGCATGGCATGGTTTGAACAATTTTATCTGGCCCTGACAAGCCTCTTAAAAATATATATCCAATTTTCATTCCACTTCCCTATCACCTCCTAATCTCTGACTTTCTTTTCTCTTCTCCAGGAAGCGCTTATCACGCTTAAGTAAACAAACAGAAATAGGGTTTTTTGACTAGTTGCAAAACTCCAGTGCTTAACAGCACACACTGACTGCATTTCTGATCTAATCCCTCCTTACACCCACCAGGATGTTCCTGAGAGATTTCGGCCAAAGTTGATTTTCCTCTCCTCTGTCAATGCCCCGAGTGTCCTTGGCCTACGCTGGACACACATTGTCTGAAGCGTAAGTACTTTTTCTCAGCATTTTGCTGGGCTAGATCTAACTCCTTACATGTGGAGAGACTGATTTTGTCTATAATCAACTGTTTATTTCTTTAGTACATTCTCTATCTCCTGCAAATGTGCTGCCAAATGTTTAAAGCCTTCTAGTTTGAAGCACAAGGCAACAGAAAGAGATGGGAGATATACAAAAAGTATGAGAGAAATACTCTTTTTAAACAAAAACTGAATGTGGTTTAACTCAAAGTGAGTTTTTGAATTATACCACAGCCAGTATGCAAAAGCTCACTGACAACAACGTCTGAGGCGCTGGAAATAGCAAGGTAATGAATCAAAACAGCAAAGCAACTTGTACCTAGAAAAAGCATTCTGCAGAGGGATTTCCTTTATGCTAAAGTTGCAAAACAGTGTTACAGTGGTTACATTTTATAAATTCGTCCTGACTCTTCATTTTATTTAATCCCAAAGAAATATTCCATTGTATCTTTTTTATTTAAAGAATATTTGAAATGATATCCTAAAGTACCATTTCATTCTCTCCTATATGCTGACAGGAAATAAGAAAGTGGAGCAGTAACGATAAAGAATTACCCACTGCTACATATCCACATCTTTTGGATTAGTAATAATTTGTCGAAGCTGAATACCTTTAAAACTTTCCACTGCTGAAAAATTATCTCACTGACAAACTAAGAATATATATCAAGCATGGAAGCAAATCTGTGCATAGTTCTGAAGATTTCCGTACTGCTGCTTGTTTTATGTTTCTGAAACATTTTGCTGTTGGTGATTTATTTCACATCCATGTGGCCAGCCATTTGTTTATTCTATTGCATGCCATCTGTTTTTTGGTAGAGAGGTTTCAAGTTCTTCTCATTCCCTACCTCATACCCCATGGAAAACAATTTATAATAGACTTAAATTTAAATCATTTGGATGCATGTGGAGTTGGTAACATGAGCTGCCTTTCACTGATATTTGGCAAATGCTTTAATGGGATTAGCAAATTGTGTTATTACGAGGTACTTATGGAGACACAACACTTTCTTTTACAATGACAAATGATGTTAACAGTTTCATTGTGGGTGTTTAATAGCAGCACAGGTTTTACTAATGTTATGGGAAATTGCCCTGATAGACAATAAAGTCCTACCACAAAGCCTGTCCATATCTTTTATTTCTGAGGGTCAACAAATATGTGTATCTGGATGTAGCAGGGTCTACTGTGAGGAATAAATATCAAGTTGCTTCACTTTTAAGAGAAAGTTCTCATGTGACCCACAGGCCTGGAAACCCTGTCTGGTCCTAACACGCTGGCCTCCTGTAGGCCCCCAGCCATGGTCTAGCTCAGCTCGCTACTCACGAATGATGGTGGTCCCCAGACTGCCCCAAAGAAAAGTTTATGCCACAAACTCTGGCTCATCAGCACCCATTTATTCCCATTCTAGGGCCCACTTTGATTCACTCTAAAGAAGAGCCAACCATTCAGAGACACAGCTTCTTGCTGAAACTATACAGATGATGCTTAAAGTGTTAATTACCATTTTTACAAGAATCCTCGCTGCCTTGGTGGAGAGGGGATATCTGATGACAGGACTCAGCGGCTGTCCACAGTTCATGGTTGACATCCAAGGGCTGAGAAACGTCCGTCTTGAGGTCTACTTGATTTGTACTAGTCCTTGCCAAGTCAGAATTAGATATATTGAGGGGGTGAGTGGTATCCTGGTGGATGGCTGATGGAGTTGGTTTGTTGAAAGTGTTGAATGACATTTGTACTAAAGCTTCATTGATGAAGAATGAATTTTCATAACGTAAACTCTCAGATCGATTAAGTTCCATTACCTGTGTAAGAAAATTAAAAAAATAATAATAATAATTTCTCCAGGCTTTTGAACAAGTTTTATAAAGTATTTATTCCTAATAGAATTTAACAGTCAGCATTTTAATAAGAATGAAGTCAAGAAGAATATTACCATTGACTCCTCCCTTCCATCCCCTTTTTGATAAGCTAGGACCAAAACCTTCAATTTGCTGTGCACAGCATAGCTTTAAAAAAAAAAACACACACACACACACACACAATAAAACAATCAGTAGTTCTTCTGACATTCGAATGTTTCCACTTTTTGAGAGAGCAGCATTTTTATTTAACTTTTGCTAAATAAAAAAGCTGAAAACATATTCGTGCATGTATGTATTTGCATGAGGTATAATTTAGCCCACTTGAAAGGCAAATTAGATATCACAGATCTTTAAAAAAAAAAAGCCTCACCCAAGGATATGTTTATTGAATTTAGAGAGAGAGAAAGGAAGAAGGAGAGGGATGGGGTGGGGAGAGAAAGAGAGAGAGTGAGTCATCCGTCTGAGAGGCAAACATGATGGGCTGCCTCCCTCACACACCCTGACTGGGGATCAAACTCAACACCTAAGTATTTGCCCTGATGGGGATCAAACCCGCAACCTTTTGATGTACAGGATGATGCTCCAACCAGCTGAGTCACCTGGCCAGGGCTCAACAAATCCTTCTTACAAGCTTATCAACTTTTACGACTTTATGTATTTATCAATAAGAAGCATATATGTGCATAAAGCACAGCAAAGTAAACTCCTGGGACAAATGGAATTGTCAAGTATGGTTAGAGAACACAGAATCTTCTGAAAGGTTTTAGTCCTTAATTAGTATATGCATGTTAACCATTATTAGTAAAAGGGGATTTTGAATTTACTATGTCAAATTGACCAAAAGAGCATAAGCTTGATAAATTCAGGACCTGTACTGCACATTAGCAGCTAACTGACCTACTAAGAGGTGCACCTGTACACAAGTCTAAGACCAGATGGTGTAGAGAGGGCCTTCAATTACAGGAGGGACAATGTCCTCACGGTGAGTGAACCTCCAGGACAAGCTTGGTCTCACTGGGACAGCTCGATTCTGGCCGCCTTCTCTTGGGTAAGGGCGTCTCAGTCCACCATGAGCCCATGATCCATCAGGGTCTAGGCCTTTCCAGTTTCCATATTTCAAATCAAAATGCATATGCATTGCCTCTGAACGATCCCCTCCTCTGCTACCTGCCTACTGAGTAACTCCTGTGAGCACGTTCACAAGAAGCAAAGAGACAGGATGGGCACGAGTGAACCCGTCTTTGAAGAAGCTGCCCTGGACTCTGCTTTGGCGCGCACGGGAAATCAGGAGATCGTACCTCCGTGCTTCCCGGAGGGAGCTCGGCGGGAAGGCTGCTCTGCCGGCAGTGCTTCCAGCCGCACAGGAGGCTCTGCTGGGCGCGCACCCGCTCCCGCTCCCTCTCCACCTGGCGCTGGCCTTCCCGCAGCCGCTGCAGGTCCTGCTGGTAGTCCTGCAGCTGCTGGTCCAGCTCCCCGCGGCTCCTCCGCAGCAGCTGCTCCTGTGACTCGCACTCCCTCTCACGCTCCTGCAGCCGGCTCTCCCTGGCCTCCTGTTCCCTCCGCTGCAGGTCACACCGGCGGTGCCAGCGCCGCTGGTCCTGCTGGAATTGGTGCTGCAGCTTGGGGATGTTAGCCAGCTCCTCACGCCGCTTCTCCAGGGTGCGGGACTTGTCCTGGTCCAGGAAGGGGCTGCCTCGCAGAGAGGGGCCGGGGGACAGGCCCTCCTGCTGCTGCAGAACCAGCCTGTGGACCTCAATGTGGCTGTCCTGAATGGTCAAGGCGGCCTGGCAGAGCAGAGGGGAAAAAGGGAAAGGCTTCCATGTTGTTCCCACTTCAGGTTGGAATTACCTCTCAATGCAAAAAATCATGACCAGATTTTTTTCTCTTGCTGCCCTTTCTCTAAGTTACCCCAAAAACCAGCCTCCGCACTTCCCAGGGGTTTGTCTATGAAATTTCCCTGTGGTATAGCCTGGGAATTTATATCCAAAAGAAATAAAGCAATACCCCCTCCCCTACTTTTGGAAATGGGGTTTGTTGCTGGGTTTTGGATATTATGTAAGCAAACTTTCTGAATAAGAATTCGGTACATAAATTCACAAGACTCTGCATTCCTGTTCTATGTCTCATGCTCTTTCAGAATTCATGAGAAGTTAAGACTATACAAACTGGTAGTCTCCTTTATTTGCATTTCAAACCAGAAATTACTTAAGCTACATTACATATATGAAGACACAAAAATAAAAGTCAACCACTTGTAGACTTTCAGTAAATAACCTTTTTATAGTACAATGCCCAGGAATAGCAGCTAATATCTTATTTAGGTGCTATGACCTGGCTTGTAAGCATTATGTAAGTGGTAAAGCTAGTATTCTTACTGTTATTTCTTTGTATTATAGTAGGAGGGTCCTGCATGAAACACTAAGCTGAAATTCATTTAATGGATTGCTAACAGGAGGCAGGAATGATTAAGGAAACACAGATACTCTCAAGCCCAGAGGACATTACCAACTAGATTAAAAAAACATTTTGAGTTACGGTATCTGCCTATGAAAACTTTGGCAGCATCACAGGAAATAATTGCCAAGATTTGGAAGGATTCCACAAAATAGAGCAAAACAAAAAAAAAAAAATCTCTGTGAATGCCCTTGGAAGCTTTTAATTTTAAAAGTTCCCACTTAAAGTGCAAAGAAGCACAGAGGGACAAATTGAAAATGGCCACATACTGGGTATATGTGCATGTGTTTTGACTCATTATGAGAAATTATTACTCTCCTAGGGATAAATTCACATTTTTCTTTCCTAAGAGTTTTAAAAACTGTCCATGCAACAGATGCTGGAAAGATGGGGATTTGACTATTATTAGTTCTTTGTGAAATCAGCAGCTCCCTAACTTTTGAAAGTTAAAAAACTAAGGTATACTCATATTTTAAATTGGTAATTGTCTTGGGACAAGATTCAAAAATGTATTTACTGGAGCCTTTTGAAATAAAATTCATATTTTTAAACTTGAAAGGAATTCTTGAAATTTCAAATTCACATAAACATTTAATTAATATCTTTTAGAAGTTATTATAAAGAGAACAATGGTCATTGAGAATAAGTACTAATTACTTTTCATTTTTAAGATTTTATTTACTTTTAGAGAGACAGGAAGGGAGAAAGAGAAATAGCGATGCTGAGAGAGACATCCATCGGTCACATCTCATGCGCCCCCAGCTGGGGACCTGGCCACAACCCAGGCGTGTGCCCTCACCGGGAACCGACCCAGCAACCAAACCGACAAGAAGCTTTTGGTTCACAGGCCAGCACTCGATCCACGGAACCACACCAGCCAGGGTACATACTAATTACTTTGATCTTTAAATATGAAATAATAAGCCATTCAGGACTCTAAGGACCTGGTAAGTAAACTGTAGACTATACATCACCATTTAATTCTAGCAAATCTTAAGGACATCAGTATAGTAAAACAAAAATCCAATATTTTACTTGTCGAAACTATCATAGGCCATGACAGTGCTCATGTAAGGGTCACAGTTAACCTAAGTGCTACCATACTTAGTATTTGGGATAAGACCACTCTCTTCTTCGCATAGAGGTGGAATTTTAAGATTGCATAGTATTTATTTTCACACTTAACCTTGATTGTTAGAACAGAGAATAACATTTGCTTCTCAAGTTTAGGGAAATACCCAATTCATTCTCTCTTAACTATTCTTTGCTGGAGTAACTCTGTGGCCTTTCCTTTCTGCTTTGCCCGTACCTCATCTCTAACTCTGCTTTCCTCATGTAGGGATCAAATTTCATTTTCATCTGATTCAAAAATGTTTATGTAAAAACTCCAATCATGCATAAGAAATTCAGCTTCAGAAAAGATGACAGCCACGAACAGAAATCTCTCAGAGCCCATATCCTTAGACCAGCTCAAAACTTTAAGAGAATCCCATGTTGCTTCGATCTAATGAGTTGCAAAAGTTAGGTCATTTAGGTAGGTCACCTGACTTTTCTGAAACTTGAGTCCACATAGGGCTGCATTCAAAGTTGAAAAGAAAACACAGGACTTTGTGAGTGTTTTCATCGGGCAACACAGGCTGGGATGCTCAATGTTTTCATCTCCCCAAAGTTAATGAGCTGTACTCAAACCGTATCCCCTCTCAGAATTGAAAGGAAAGAATATTTGTTTTACATGATACATCCAGTCTCTAAGAACATCTACCCCAGATCAGCATGTCTAATGTAAAGCAGTAAAGGCATTGCCACTAAATCTTGAACAAGACAAGGATGCTTACTATCACCACTGTTATTTAATATATTTTCAGAAGTTCTAGCCATAGCAGTAAGCCAAGAAAATAAAACTGATAAAATTGTTGAAAAATAGTAAAAATAACATTATTTTCAAATTTTTACTTTCTATCTGATATATGCCAAAGAATCAATAGAAAAACTATTAAAACAAGAAATAAAATTCAACAAGTGGCCAGTTACAAAATAAACATTTAAAAATCAATACCCTTATTATCAACAACCACTATTGGGGAAACATAGTAAAAAGTACTCCATTTGCAATAGGAACAAAGAAACAAATATCTAGGAATAAACTTAGAAAAAAACAAAATAAACCAAAACAAAACACAGTACCTACATGAAGATAATCACAAAGTTTCCCAGCAGAGCATAAAATAAGAGATGACTAACAACATGTTCTCAGAAAAGAGGACTAATTATTGCAAAAGTGCCAATTCTCCCCAATTGAATTCATAAATACAGGGTGGGGCAAAAGTAGGTTTACAGTTGTTCATGTGAAAAACAATGCAATCATTGATAAATAATAATGTAAGAATAAACTCTATGTTTTGCATACTCATAACTGTAAACCTATTTTTGCCCCACCCCGCATAATGAGACTTTACTAGACTTGGCAGAAAAGCAAGAAACTTGTCAGTAAGTCAAAAGCTCTTATGAAAGATTATACAGATAAGCACAGAAAAGTAATGAGAGGAAACCAGTAGCACTGTCATATATGCACACGTAATCTATAACTTTAAAAATTAAGATAGTGGTACCGGAGCAAGAACAGGCAGAAGATGACCAACAGAACGAGGGGAGAGAGGCCTGATGCAGTGAAGCACAAACAAGAAAGCATCAAATGTAACAGGACTCGGTGTTTTTCTGGCGAAAACTTAAAATCAGACTTTATTTTAGTTTCTTTTACTATTCAACAGGTATGAAATAGGAAGTATGACTGGTAATAAACCAGTAAGGAAAAAGTTTAATATTAACAGCGATCCAAAAACTTTAAGATAATCTAGATACCTTGACCAATTTTCAAACTCAGAAATAGAAAGGGGTGTTGATTATTTTGGCAATGTCTACTAAAAACCTAAAGAAAAAATTCTGGTAATTGATCCTAAGCAAACATAGATATGTTCAAAGAAATTAGTGTGTTAAGGAGATCACTAGAGTGTTATTAATACAAAAGGATAAACTATGAGGAATTGGATAAAGTCCATAGACTGGAACCTTATATAAGCATTAAAACTTGTACTATAGAGTAACGGCTGATGACACAGGAAGGTACGTTTTACAAGGCTACATGTAAAATGATTCTAAAACACAGGAGGGAGGTACAGCAACATGACAATAACTCTCTCTACAGAATCACAAGTCATTTTATTTTATGGATTTGTATCCTCAGATTTTTCTACAAATTTGTCTACTACACAACCATGGCTTTGGTACCTCTTAAAAATATTTTTAATCCAAAAATTAAGCAATTAGATGTATTCAGCCTTTCTTGTGTTTGGCCGCAGGGATCATCCAAACCTATAATCTTAAATGCAAGGGTGATGTCTATGCCTGTCTTTGCTTGACAGACATCAAGTCATTTGACAGCAGGCTTTGTGTCCTCTGCCTTTGTATGCTCATCCCTCTGCACAGTACCCAGACAGAGAGAGCACTCAGTAAATGTTGGGTGGGTGAACAAACAAAAGAATGAAGGAGCATATGAATTATTTAACTGCTCTAAAGGCCTAAAGCCAACATATGGAAGTGAAAAAAGTTTAGGCGTGAATTTGAGTTTTCACCAGAAAATGTGAAGTCATGCTACACTCACCTAAGGGTTTCATTGTAAACTTCAAGCCAGGTCATAGTCACCAGTATTTTTTAAAGATATGAACTGTTTTATGGTTTCAGAAGAGATTGGTATAAAATGTAGTAGTGGTATTGCCTCATGATGACAAAACCAGGTGACGTTCAACACATCTCACTGAGTCACAGTGGGGGCTGGCACTACACTGCCTTGCAAGTGTTCTAATTTTTAAAGTCTTGGAATCATCAAATAAAGTGAACTACATTAAGAAAAAGGTTCACAAGGTCAAAAATTAGAGGAGTGTAGTTACCTGAAGGCTATATAAAAGACGGGTTAAATTCTGTATTGCTTGTATAATCTGAAAAACAAGATCCTAAGTGTCAAATTCTTGAAAAAGCATTTATTATGCACAAATAGAGGATGGCGGTATAGGTAAGGTATGCTTAGCTCACCTCTGATTGTGAAGAACCTGGAAAACTTCTATATTCCACCTAAAATGCATAAAAACATAAGAAAATGAATAATCATTCTACTTTTGAAAAGCTGCACTCTAGTGTTCCCAAAAGTATGAGCTCAGGTAAATCACTTTACTGTCTCCAAACTCTTCTACAGTGAGTCTGTCCCCCCAAGACATCAAAGCCTACAGGACTGAACGATTACTTAATGAAAGGCCCTCTGTGCAAACTCGGTATTTGAGAAGCATGGCTTCTTTTCACCCAGCCATTCCTTAAAACAACATGAGATGATGGTAAGGAAACGCTGCACACTCTCAGTAAGTGACAATATTTACCTTGCACAAACCACACTGTAAACTGAGCTCTCTTGGGCCCAGGTTGAAGTTGTCTCCCAGGCCAGATTTGGAAGCTAGAGAACATCATGCTGACTCTCCAGCTCCCTGTCTCAATGTTTGAGATTCACAAAGTCCAAATAGCCAGTGGTGGGCAGAAGAAACCGGACTCAGAGGCAGCCCAAAGGGGAGCATTAAGCTGACCGGCTCCAGATCCTACCTCTCAGAGTTAACTTGCCCCTCCATGATTGCCTTATAGACCCACCACTGGCAGAGGCCCCAAATGAGGCAACCAGGGACCTTCTGCTCCTGGGGGACAGGGTCTCTCTACACACACAGTAAGGGCACATGTGGATAGTGAAGGTTTCCAGTTTCCAAGTTGAAGTGAACATTTGTCTATTCATTTATTGGCTGTCTTTTCTCACTAGGATGTAAGCCAATGAATAGCAGGATTTCATCTGTGTCATCAGTGCTCTATCCACAAACCCGCCTGGCAGGGAATGGACACTCATTCCCTTCTATAAATAAATATCAGGCACCCAGTGTGTGTTCTACACCCTATGCTGGGGAAGGTCATCAGACTCCTTGCCCTCCAAGAGCCTCAAGTCTCCTATTGCTCTTGCCTGAGCGCTTTCAATGGAAACCACAGCTGTTAGTGCTCAGGTAACCCTGGACTTATTAAATTCAATTAGTTCAAACTGACGACGATGTCTTGCTGACCTAGACAGATCCCTTCCCCTACATTGCCAATTAATTTCATTATTAGCCAGCACCTCTAATAGAGGAAGGATAAAGGCTGGAAAAAGAAAATGAAATTTAGAGTCTTTAGATCTGTTCCCAACCCTCCGGAAGGAAGATAAACAGGGGCTAAGGACCGCCATTCCGTAGTTAATTTTGGAATTTTCTCTGCATTTCTGGTTCTGTTCTTGCTCCACACTCCATGGTTTTTGTAATAAAAAGATCGTTTGATATATAGTTTTTATATTGTATAAAAATTGGAAACATGGAAATGAATTGAGTTATGCTACTACGTATGGTTGCTTATTTCCAAGAACCACACCATGTTTGATACAGGACAGGAGTTTAACATCATCTTTTTAATGGAGTTGATCTGCCACCTGGTGGTCAGTTTTCAGAGCTACAGTTGGTGATTTACACACAGGATATTTCGCCATTTGGGTCACAAATGTAATTTTTAAAATTTTTAAGAATTTTTTTTCTTTAAAAACCTCACCTTATTAAAGACTTTAATTACAAAATATCCATTATATATTTTTGAAAGTTTAATTGTAAGTGATCTTGCCCTGTCAGTTCATTTAGTTTACCAAAACGCCTTATTAATGGCAAATTTTCCAAATAGTTCATCCAACAAGTAACCTGGACACTTCATCTCACTTACCTGTGACTGAATCATGGAAGGAAAAGACTTTAGGGGTGGGAGGCAGCTTTCCATCAAGAGAAAACTATTAGTAAGCAACCCACTCCCCTTCCTCTCTCTAATAAGGTAGAAGCAGTTGGAAGCTACAAACTTCAAAGTGAAGTCTCCACTGAAAAGGATGGAAAGCAGGAACATTTTTAAAAGAAATAAGTTAGAAGGCATATGGTCAGAAGAAGTGGAGTAAAATATTGAATTCCTATTTTCATTTTGGCCTATGAAATTTTAAACACTCAATCACAGCCACCTTTTACTATGGACTTAAAAAATATCTTTGGAGTTGGTTTCTCAGTCATTTACATATTTATACAAAAATACACATAAGATGTTACATATACAAAGTCCTGACATATGTCATTCCCCACATTAACACATGTTGGTATTTGGCAATATACCTAATTCGATTTTAGATAAAATTGAGCCCAGATAATCCTGGGGAGGCCCACTAGTCACCTCCCAGAATCGTGTTCTTATTCCCTCTCTATTTCTGACATTTTGGTTTCATTTGAGGTTAATAGGAAGTCTCGCACATTTAATTTTTAAAAGAGAGTGTTAAAACTAACATGGATAGAATGTCAAAAAAGAAGAGGCCCCAAGGAAGAAGGAAGGAAGGGAGGGAGGGAGGGAGGGAGGGAGGGAGGGAGGAAAGCAAGCAATATTCCAAGGTCAAAATTATTTCTGCCGCTTCTGGGCCGCTTGGATGCTTAACGGCCCCCATGCCCAGGGCCACCCCTTGGCCAAGCGCCACTGAGTGCAGGGGGTGAAAGCTAGAGCTTCAGCATGGAAAGTGAAAGTGAGACCAGCAGAGAGAGCAGACACACAAATAAACACTGAGTTTTAAATCTTTTTAATAACGTTTCAAGTGTTTCTTCGTTTACACCTACATGATATAGGGAGAGCAAGAACATTTTAAGAAGAAATAAGTCAGAAGGTATAAATATGAATATTGAACTTGAGGACAATTCAGGAAAACACATCTCTACTCCCGTTGGCCACGGACAGACCAGGACGTGAGGTTATTTCATTACGCAAAGCAACCGGTGCCAGTTACTAACAAATCAGTTCACAATACCTTCTCCCCTGCATCAGAGACCGCCAAGTCAGCTCCCACACCCTGGGTCCCGGGATCCACATCCCAACAGCCTCTTCCTGCTGTCCCTTCTGTGACTAGTGCTGGAAGCACACCGTTGAGACAGAAACAAAAAGGACATCATCACACATCAGCCAGTGGATGGGGGGTCTTTTGTACACAGCTGACCCATATTTCCAAATAACGAACACCATAAAATCACATGTATCAAATACTCCCCTATGAGGTGCTAAAGTAGCACAGAGAAACGCTGAGACCCTGCCCCCAGGGAGCTTACACGCTAATAGATACCAGACTGACAAACGGCATCAATTATCGCCCATCTTTTTATTTTTCTTCTTCTCTTGCCGAGAGGTGTTCGTGTGATGGTGGTGATACCGAGAGGGTAGACTCTCCATCTCACTTTCACCTAATAGGAAAAAGCCGCCCGGGGAGGGTGAAATTGAAAACAGGCCCCACAGAGCACAGCAAGGGCTGGCAGGCCCCGACCCAAGCACGCAGGTCTGCGAAAGGCCCCCTGGTGGCCGGTACGAGACAGCCAACCACAAACAAGGTTCCGCAGGAAGGAATCAGGAGCGGAGCATCATTCTGAGCAGGTGGAGGTGGCTCACATTTTATGACCTCACCTGTCCCTATCTCCAACTAACTGATTTTTTTAAAAACAATTTCCAAGTGGATTTTTTTCCTCACAATTCCTGTTAATGCTCTGAATTTACCACATTGTAATTGTGATATATTTAACCTATAAAAACACAGAAATACTTCTAGTCCAGAAATATTGTTAAGTACCACCTACAGATTTCACTCCATTCATTAAATCTCTGTTGGTGGGATTTATTTCTTTACCCATGAGAACTCGGTAAACTTACACTATGCTCACCTTACAATGATTATAACTAGACCTTCTAAAGCCCTTTCACACAGAGAATTTCATTGGAACCAGGTCCAGTCAGGAACCTGATGAAATAGATATTCACATGGTGACACTGTTTATCATTTTTCCCCCAGTGCCATCTTGAAACTTTATTTCTGATAAAAAGAAACACTTTTTTTCCTCTTTGTTTAAATGAGAGACCTCTGTCACAAAGAACTTCTTGTTTAAGCAGAAACAACTTCAAACTATATTAGCTAAAAATTAAGTTCATTTTGTCTAAGTTCGTCAAAGCTTGTTCATTTAGAATGAAGGGATATTTTATAGAGATTTTTTCTGTCACTAAAAAATTGGTCCCACGATTGGGTACTATTCTTAACTCTTAGAGAGATGCCAAAAGCATTGCCAAAAACATTACCAAAAGAATTAGCCGTTCTCCTCCCGTCCCGCCACCCCATAGAAACGAGGACCATCAAATGGGAAAGGCAGCTGACGGTGGGTCCAAGGAGGGCAGAGGAATGAAATATAGGTCATGTCCCTCCATTCTTGTTTTCAATTTCAGAGTGGACGACAGGGTCTCCAGAATTTTATAGGGAGTCAACTACACTCATCTACCTGATTAGGTGCATGGCGTACGAAAACCAGAGGGTTTTGCTTGGTCTCTAACCTCCCATTGACAGGGGCCTGACTTACAAGGACACTGTCCTCAAAGTCAAACCCAGAACAGACCCTTCAGGCATAGACCCTCCCTTAGGAATGGTATTTTTGTCCCCATCAAATTATAAGGAGAATCCAACTCATGTAGCACCACGTTGCAGTCCAGCCCAGAGCTGAATAGGTGTTTAGGGTACAGGACCCCGCTAATGTGACCCTGCCCCTCCTGTACATGAACCCTGATAGGAGGCCACTGTAAACAGCCCCTTCAGATCTGGCAGATGTCATGGGTGTCCCTGGGAACTCTCGCAAGTCATGGGAGATGTGGATCCCGACTGGGACAGCCTTCACGGCCAGGTCTGCGGGGAGGGAAGGTGCAGCCACGGGCTCTGAGCAGCTGCGGCAGCCACGCAGCCCCTCCCAGCTGTCGGGGGTGAGTCCGAGAGCAGCAGGGCCCTGCGTGTATTTTTAGATAGAACTTCCTCAACGGCATAATGAGGCTCTTCTTTAAAAAGGAAATCACCCAGGGCAGTACAACTCCCCTGATGAATCGGGGCTGTGTTGAAATGAAAAACATATGTGCACATTCTGAAAATAGAAACCCAGGATTAGATAAAGCAGTCTTAAGAGGGGAAAATAATAAAAACTGCACTGCTTCCATATATCTTAATTAACCAAGGGATGTTCGTAGAGAAATTCTAAGACATTTAATCCTCCAATCTCTAGCTACTAAAAACATATAAGACCTGGTGGGAGTATGGTTTTTACCACCCAAACATAATCTAAAAATATAGTTTTAAGTATCTTTTTAGTGCTCTTATCTCAGTAACCATTCGGGAATTAAATAGTTAGCTTTCCACCGTACATATAACAGTACAATTAGGTTCAGAGAATGACCTATATCAATTTTCTACATTCTATTTTTCTGTACTTAAAAAATATTGAAACTGTTTTAATAACTGAATTCTGATCTGAACTGAGGTTATGACAACACTGACCAAGAAGCTTTTAGCCCTTCTGCTTTTTTTTTTTTTTTTCAGTTTTCTTTTGAAGGTTTTTTTAAATTGAATTTATTGGGGTGACATTGGTTAATAAAATTATATAGGTTTGAGGGGTACAATTCTATAATCCATCATCTGTATATTGTATTGTGTTCACCATCCCAAGTCAATTCCCCCCCATCACCATTCATCCCCTCTTGCCCTCTTCTGTCTGCCCCACCACACTTTCCCTCTGGCCATCACCCTACTGCTGTCTATGTCTATGAGTTTTGTCGTTTTGGGGTTTTTTTTTGCTTAATCCTTTCATCGTCTCACCCAGCCCTCCAACCTCCCTCCCCTCTGACACCTGTCACTCTGTTCTCTGTATCTATGAGTCTCTTGCTAATTTGTTTGTTAGTTTATTTATTTATCCACATATAAGTGAGCTCATATGGCACTTGTCTTTCTCTGACTGGCTTACGTCATTTAGCATAATGCTCTCCAGGTCCATCCACTGCTTGTACCCACACAACCAAACCTTTTGGGGGGGTGTGTGTATGTGTTTCTACTTCTTTGAGTTATGCTTTCTCCATTGATGCACAGAGAGTAAGTTAAAGGACTTGTTCTCTAAAGAACTGCAGGGATCCTTTCTTAAAAAAACAAAAAAAGTTGAAAACTTCTTTCAAAACTGTATTCAGTAAGTTCTATCAAAAATGAGACAGTAAGTTTGGAGGAACGTACAAAGCTTGCCTGGGCAACAGAGCTGTATAACCCACCAACTAACTATTTTTTAAGTCCTTGTCCTTGGTACAATAGTGCCATTATTACATGTAAAGGAGGCTAATGTATTTATTCTCAGTTTTCAAAATTTAAAAAACACATTAAGTCCCATTCAAATAGGAACAGAGTCATTGCCTTCATTTTACGTAAAAACTACACACTCCAGGGACTGCGTGCAGGTTCATCGCAAAGACACTGTCACTTACAAGCAGCAGGTGATCCTGGTGCATCATGAGAAATGGGCACATCTGTCAGCACGGACTCTCCACACCCTTCCTCAGATGACTGACAGGCATCGCCCACCTGGGAGGCCTTCACTGCAAGTTGTAGGCTCTCAGCTAAGAAGTAGGGAAACAAAAGTAAATTAAAAAATAAATATAGATATACAGGGTGGGCAAAAGTAGTTTATAGTTGTTCATATGGAAAACAATACAATAATTAATAAATAATATAAGAATAAACTCTGTGTTTTGCATACTTACAACTATAATCCTACTTTTGCCCCACCCTGTGTGTATATACATATATATGTATACATATTAAATCTAGACCAGGAGTTGGCAAACTATATTTGGCCTGTGTCTTTTTATATGGCCCAGCAACAAAAAATGGTCTTTACATTTTTAAAGAGTTGTCAAAATATATACACATGTAGACACAACTAATGTGTCCCAGAAACTCTATGTGGCCTGCAAAGCCTAAAATATTAACTGTGTAGCACTTCACAGGAAAAGTTCGCCAACCTGCAACCTAGACCAATACTTCAAGCATCATTTTATGACAGAGAATTCAATTTTAAAAAAACTTGTATAAAAATACCTCCAGTGCAATTTTTCAGTAAATTAGTATGCTGAAAAATTCAATTAGTTTGAATATGGCACCGGGCATTAGAATTTTAAGACTTGCTACTCTGAAATGTTAGCTACTCTTCAAAGGGGTATTTCTCCAAGCATGCCCTTAAAAAGAGATACATATGCCTCACAGGAGATCTACTGGATCAGGTGGTCCAGGGGAGAAAACAAGGGATTTGCACTTTAAACAAGCACCAAAGGCTACTCTTAAAACTTACTAAGATTGTAAGTGGAGTTTTTTATTTACAATAAAAGGTTTTCAACTAGCATGTGGAATAGTATTATTTTGAGGCCCCTATAAATATTTCTAAAACAGTGTCCCATGATTTCAGTTAGCAAATTGATAACCTACTCTGTTCTAGGAACAACTGGGCATATGATAACCAGTAAGGAGAGTCAGCAGATTGGAGGAGGAAAGAGACACAGACAACTAACAGAACTGCAAGGTAGCACGTGTTCTGTGCTAAGTTCTACCATGCAGGCATTAGAGCACCATAAAATGACGCAAACCCACAGAGATGGAGAACAGACTGATGATTACCAGACGGGAGGGGTGGTGGGAAGCCGGTAAAAAAGGGGAAGGAATTAAGAAGTACAAATTGCCAGTTATAAAAACAGGATGTACTACATAAGTACAGCATGGGGAATATAATCAATAATATACTATTGTAACAACTATATATGATGCCAGATGGGCACTAGATTTATCAGTGTGATCACTTTGTAAACTATTGAAATGTCTAATCATTATGTTGTACACCTGAAATTAATATAATATGTATGTCAACTGTTATTGAAAAATAAAAAATTATTTTAAAAATGCTCCAGTAGCTTAGAAGAGCAGGAGGGTTACATTAGCCAGTGGGATTAGGAAAAAGTTCTTATAGAAGGTGAACACTGAGCAGAGCCTTGGAGGATGGATGGAACTCAGGAGGCAGAGACAAGGGGAGAAAGGAGGGAAGGAAAGCAGGCTCACAGAGCGAAGACCTAGGGAGACAATTTGAAGTGTGTGATGAACCTGTCCTTTTTTCCAAAGATAACTACCTCACCCTGCTAAGAATTCCTGCTAAATCTCAGTCTGGGTGTTGCTGGCCAACAACTGGGATGGATTATCTAGCCTGTGGCTCAGGCAGAACCTCAGTTGCCCTGGGTTCTCTTGAGCAGCTGGGTCCACTTGCCGCTCCCACACCTCCGTCCCATCATGGGCCAGAGAATGAAAGCAGAACAACTTAACACTGGAGCGTTAGTGACAGTTTCAGTGTGTGTGGGGGCGGGGCCGGGAAGGAGGGAGGGAAGGCCACAGGGTAAAATTGAGAGCAGGCGACTTTTTTAATAAAGACATTAGCAAAGATAATGAGAGGGTCAACAGTGTTTCTCAACCCACTTGAAAGTCCTTTTGGCTTTCTTTTAAACTAGGTATTGCATCTGTCCACTTCCTTCTTGCACTCTCTTCCGGCCTACTTCAGCCAACTCCCAGTTACACCCTAGACCTTGTCATTCTCCACACAGCAGTCAGGGAGTTCCTTTTAAAACACAAATCAGATCACTACTCTACTCCAAACTCTATAAAGCTTCCCATCTCACTTAGAATGAAAATCAAAGTCCTTACCTCCATCCAGGTAACCTGAGTCCTACTTAACGCTGGCTCATCTCCTGCCACTCCCCGCCCCTTACTTCACCTAACCTGCACTGTCCTTGCTGTTCCTCAGATCGGACACGCACCTGCCTCAGGGCCTTTGTATCTGCTGTTCCCTATGTCTGGAACATTCTTTTCCCAAATATATATATTTGGCTTTCTCAATTCCTTGTGTCTGCTTATGTATCACTATATAAAAGAGGCCTTCACTGTCCGCCCTATCCAAAACAGAGCTCCTCAACTCCATTACTCTCTATCCCCGCTACCCTGCTCATCTTTCTTTATAGCACTTCACATAACCTGATACATTTATTTCCTTATAATTTGCTGCCAGGAATATGAACTCCAGGACTTTGTCTTATTCTGCTGCATCCTCAGCACCAAGGCCACAGTACATGGCTCATAGTAGGTAATCAATAAATATTTTCTGAATTTGTCAACCAAATCCTTTTGGAAGCACCTTACCTTCTTTCAGTGCCGCAGCCAGTAATGAGGCAGCCTGGGGGGGCTCTCCGGGGTCGGGTTTAATGAGGAGGTGGGGCTCCAGGTGGACATCCTCAAATCCACTCAGTTCTCCAAGTTCAGCATAGATATTCAGCTTCTCCTCCAAATATGTACAGATTTGTTGGTCTTGATTACAGAGTATTTCTATGAGATAGTATTTACCACAGATGGTTATCCTATGACTACAACAACTATTATGAAAATACAAGTTACAAGACAAAGAAGTTGCTGATTAACAAGCCGTGTGATCCAACAGCTAAAATAAAGTTGTTGGGTGGGACAAATCCAAGTTCAAATCCCAGCTATCCCAAGCGGTTACTGCAGACTCTAGCAAATGGTTTAGTTCTCTCAGTTTTCACTGTATTTTCTATAAATAAGGTACTGAATAAATGTCCATCTCCCTTCCCATTCCCCTTACCCCAGAAAAACTTGCAAGATTTTCCTCGGTGGCTGTTTTCTATCATGACTCAGCATTGGGCTCAGGAATGAAACTGAGGTCGCTAACCCATAATGAGTGAGACCCACACGGGAAAACAACGCCAAGGCCTGAAAGTGCTCAGTCTTCAGCCAGCCTTGGTCAAAACCAAACACGATGGTTTATGTTTTTACTTCTAAACACCCAATTTCTTTGACCATCTCCTCATGCATCATTTTCCTCTGACTTCAACATGTCACAGGATTCTTCAAGTTTAAAGGGAGCTTAACCAGTGCCTAATCCAGGGGTTCTCAGTCTTCTCTGCCTCAGAATCACCTGGAGAAAGTCTAAAATACTAATGTCTGCACCCCACCTGACCGATTCTGACTGACTTGGTTGAGGGTGGGGGCCTGGGCATCAGAACTTTTAGAGACCTCCCCCAAGTGATTCTAACATCCAGTCAGAGACAAGAGCCATTGAGCTAACCTAACTTCCATGTTTTTCAGAGTTGGGAACTGAGGGCCAGAGCTCTTATGTTCCTTTCTCACTGTCATACAACTATGATCTAACAGTGCTAGGCCTTAAAATTAAACCACTGAAGCCCTGGCCAGGTGGCTCAGTTGGTTGGAGCATCACCCTGTGCATCAAAATGTTGCAAGTTTGATTCCATCAGGGTACATACCTAGGTGGCATGTTTGATCCCAGGTCAGGGTGTGTATGGGAGGCAACTGATTGTTCCTCTCTCTCCCCCCACCCAAAACAATGAAAACATATTCTCAGGTGATGATTAAAAAAGATTACAAATTAAACCATTGGATAGCAGCTCTAAGGCTCATCTCTGCCACACTGCCCATAGTTACTGTTTCATACATGTTAGGTACAGAATTTTAAAAATATATTCTTTTGTAACATTTAATATTATTGTGTACTAGTTTCAGGTGTATAACATAGTGATTAGATAATCTTATACTTTACAAAGCGTTCCTCTGATATTTCCAGCACCCACCTGGCACCATACATGGTTATTACAATATTACTGACTGTGTTCCCTATGCTGTACTTCACATCCCCATGACTATTCTGTAACTACCAATTTGTACTTCTTAATGCTTTCACCTTTTTCACACAGTCCACCGCCTCCCTCCCCTCTGGCAACCATAAAAATGTTCTCTATGAGTCTGTTTCTGTTTTGTTTGTTCATTTATATTGTTCTTTAGATTCCACATATAGGTGAAATCATATACATATAGTATTTGTCTTTCTCTGACTGACTTATTTCACTTAGCACAATACCCTTTTGTCCATCCATGCTGTAGCAAATGGTAAGATTTCCTTCTTTTTCATAGCTGAGAATATTCCATTGTATATATGTACCACAGCTTTAATATGTATCTATTTAATCACAAAGGAGGAAGGAGGGAGAAGTACATCTTATTTAAGCACTTCTAGTACCAGTAGTTGTTTTACTTATTTTTTTAATTTTTTTTTTTGCAAGTCGTTAGGGTGGGCCTTGCATGCACAGAATTAAATTAATCAGCCAGTCATAACTTCCCATTCATAACATCTGGGCTTTCTCAACATCCACAAACACACATAACAATCAGGGAACCAGAGGTCCCAGCACTGACCTTGACATTGCTGAATTTTGGCCACTCTGGCTTCCGCCTTCCGCCTCTCTTCATCGGATTCACTTGTCCTTCCCCCTTCTTCTTCTGGGCAACTTTAAAAGACAACAGTCAAGTAAGACAACTGAAACCAAATCCAAGTATCTTGAGGTTCATTGAAAAGACATGGGAACTGGCAATAGAATTACTTTTAAAAAATTCACCATAAAGAGAATTCATGCTCCTGGCCAAGAGATTTGGTTTTCTTGAATATATAAAGGACCTTGTATAATATTACATAGCTTTCAAAGTTAGCCACATAGGATGACTCAAATTTCCCAATAAACTCACATACATAAACATTCACTCATGTATGTACACATGAATGCACACACACACAATACCAACACCATCATTATATACAATTAAAATAATAATTTTTGCTTTCTACCACTTTGGGGCAGCTCTATGAATGGGGGAGAGGAGGAGCTGCAGGGAGTGGGGGAGAGGAGGAGCTGCAGGGCGCCATGTGGGTTGGGGTGCAGCGGCGATGGAGAAATCTTACGTAATGTCACTCCACACCTACAAATCCAATTACTGTCAAGAATGATTACCCCCAACCTCCCTCTCCCATTTATAAAAACTGCCTTTGCGCAATAATCAGGAGTACATTGACTTAGAACACTTAGATCCACTCATCTAAAAATGTTTATTGAATGATTCTTTGGAATTTGGCACACAGAAAAACATAAGACAGGGTCCCTGCCCTCAAGGAGCTTCCAACCTAACAGGTAGAGGCATACAACAAATGATACCAGCTAGAAGGCAGCGCACGACAAGCACCGAACGGATGCTTCAGACAGTAAGCGTTAAAGGATGTCAGGGAAGAAAGAGACCACTGGAGCCAAAGGGGTCTTCACGAAGGCAGTGAGCATGAGCTGCCCCAAGATGGGCAGGGCTGCACAGGCAGCGGGGTGTGGGGGTTACATGCAGGGCGGCGCGGAGGACAACGCTGAGGAGGAGGGGCTATCCCAGGCAGGCGCAGGGGATCAGGCCACTCCGGCTGAGGCGAAGTTTTCATGCAAAGGAGACACAGTTAGAACATTGCCCCCCAACTGAACAAGCCCACTTCATAGGTTATGGACAGAGGGAACTGTTACCTCTCCACGGCCTGCTGGATCCGTCTCATCCAGTTATTCCGTTCCTCCTTGGAATTGGTATGAATCTCGTACATCTCAGGACCAGCAGAAGAAGCACTGATCAGAAACATGCCTCTCTCCTCATTAGCAACTTCTCGAGCAATAAGCTTCTGAAGGGAAATAACGGATGGCTTCTGGTCCTACATAAAATAGAAGGACGTGCAGATGAAACAGCATCCTAGCTAAAGTGTGGGTGGCTCAGAACACATTACCGCAGGGAGGCAATGGTGTTAGGGAAGTCTTAATATCACTCCAATGTGTTCCCAAGAGCTGTGGATGTTGGTAAGATCTCCATGGAAAGGGCATAGTGAAGAGAGGATGGGGGCGGGGGGGTGGGGGAGAGATAAAAGAGAATGGCTGTCCTTAAGAATTGGTGGTTGAAGGAACAACTTTTAAAGAAAACAACATGTCATTGGCCATAGTGTATACAGGCGCTGGCTAAGCTTCCCTTTGGGGAAGCAGAGCTTTGGATATGAATCTCCTGTCTCAGACACTTGCTGCAAGTAAATAAAACTACTTTGCAACAAAAAATAAATGAACAGGACAACTTTTAAAAAGAGAGAACAATCAGAGCATGAAGAAAAATACCAAAATGCCATAGACAGGGTTGGGGGGATTTTTCTAGAAGGCCATGGGATAGGAAATAGTATATCAAGTGTTGCAAAGAGACCTAGAGAGCTGGAAGCCCTGGGGAGCCCACTGGATTTGGCACTTTCCAGCAATACTGTTTCCATAAGGTGATGGATACAGAATCCCAGCACTAACAGATGGGATGTGAAGATGAAAGGCAAGAATGAGGAGGCAAGGCTTGGATTCCCCTGGCACAACCAGGATCTGCTGCTATTGTAGAAGCACGGCAACACACCTTCTATGGTTCTGCCTGCAAATTCCTCCTCTTTCCACCAACCAGGGAAGCCCCTGGTGGGCAGGAATGTTTCTAATTCACCTACCTTTGTCTGACACAGTGCTTCACATAGAGCAGGCATTCAGTAAATGTCCGCAGAACTAGATTTAGCTTAATTCCATCAGAGGGGAATAGGAAGAAAGTCTAAAATGTGGCATCCAAGTCATGATTGAATCACCTCTCCTCCCAACATTGACTGTGACCAGTGTTCCCTTCTAAGTCCTGGGGATTCAAAGAATCCTACTGATTACAGTAATGTACAGTAGGTAGGCAGCTGTAGTTGAAAGAATAGACAAAAGAATGCCTGCTACAGTTTTGGGGGTAAATAGGAAGAATCTCTTTTGGTCTGTGGCTTCCACCGCTGTTTACAGGGTCGGCTGCAGTATGTGGTTTTGCTTCTCCCTCAGAGACTGAGAGACGCCTTTACCCATAACATGCCACTCTATCCCTCACTGCTGACTCCTCTGTGCTGGCTTTACTTCCCCAGCTGGCTTTACATCCCCAGAGGCTCTGCCACCTCTGAAGGTGTGTGCAGGGGTTTACCCAGAATATCTCTTCATCCCATCTCTCTTAGAGCAGAAAAAGTAAAAATTTTAAAAAAAGAAAAAAGAAAAAAAGGGACAGACCACTGGTCTACCCAGTCCCGTGCTCAGCCTCTGCAAATGGAAGCAAAAGCAGCTGTGTGGCAGTGCTTTAGGAGTCCAGCCCTCTCTAGCTAGGGAGAGCTCCTGGGCACTGGGACTAGCCCTCATTCGACCATAGATCTACTGTGTAAGACCCTATCTCCCTTCCTTCTTTCAATGCACAGTTTTGGCAGCCTCGGCTTACAATGTAACAGCTTCTGTCGATAAAGAGGCAGAGTAGGTTGAATTGCTTACGACATAAGCAAGAGGGGAATTATTTGAACCAGTTGATTAGTGTTGTAGAAGGAGGGGAGGTGGTGGGGTCAGATATTTTAAGAATGAAAAGTAGGTAAGTGGGTAGAAAGTAGCATTAATTACATCACCATCAGACCAGGAGGCATCGGGGATCTGTCCATCCTCATTCACACTAAGCACACACAGACACCAGAGATGATCAGAAATTCTGGGTAAATCTCCAGGAATGGAGGTGAAAAATCCACTTTGGAGATAAGATGTGTCAAAACCTGATGTGCAAAGGCCTAACCCAGGCTGCAGAGATGTTTTGTTCATGCCGCAGCATTTTAAAAGCAGATTATTTTTTCTGAATAGTTGTCAACATTTAAAAACTGGGGGGGGGGGTCCCATGTTGAAAAATTATAGATTTCTGAGTTTGTGGGAAAGCAGAAGATTGGCAATCCTGGGCCCATATCCTCATTTAAAAACGCGCGAGAGCTGCGTAACCGCTGCCCTCAGTGCGATGGGGCATGTACTCGCCAGTTCACCATGGTCCCTACCCATCTCTATCGCTCCGTGACACCACGCCTGGCCTAGTTTGCTCATCCACATCCCTGCCCAGCCCCTGTAGATGCTGGATTGAAGACCTCTGCCACAGAGAAGAGGGAAGGAGCTGCTACCTTTAGCTGCATTGTTATACTATATCTTTTGTGAGTCCACAAAGTGGCCCATTCCACCAGTGGGGAATTCTATCGGTGATTCCACTGTGATAACAAGACCTTAAGGTCACTTCCTAGTTTGAACTTGCATTTGCACATCTATATGGTCACTTTGTCTGTTTTATTGGTCATTCATTTTGAAATTACCTTTTTTGATATTTAAGACAACGTCCTAGACTCAGTATTCCAGCATTTAGTAAACACATCTACTTTTTCCTACTCATTTACTATATTTGGGTCCTTCTGCCATTTCCAGCTGAGTCCTCTTTAAAAACAAAATTATCTCTTAGGGAAGCTACTCCATCCTCTTGCTCCTTTCAGCTGCTTATCTTCTGACCATTTCTAAAGTCATCACATCTTCTGTGACATGTGGCAAGCATTTACTTAAGAAGTTTTTTCTAATAGCACAAGGGACAGAGAATCTCGCTGTGGGTATTAGCATGAAGATAACTGTCTAAAGCACTCAGGTGAGAACTAGGAAATCCATATATTTGTATACCCCCAGCCGATGCATCAGTTCCCACAACATAGTAACTACAAGATACTTATGACACCTGGGCTGTGTCAACTCAATGTGTAGGATGAAACTAAAAAAGCATATGATTTAACGATAGGGTGCACTTGACTCTTTAAGGGTAATGGTTTCTTTTCTGCTTCTTGACATCAGCAAGGGCTTAGCTGGCCTTGACAAATGCAACTACATGTCAGACTAACATTTTCAGGGAAGAGTATCAGCATCATATTATTGTCATCCATTGCCAAACACATTTACCAAGAGAAGCTGAGTTGTGGCTGCCTTCAATGGGGCATTGGTGGATGGCACCCCTAAAGTTCCATTTAAGGGTAAATGTGATCTATGGGTGACATAGATGACTCTTCAAGAGGCCAAGTAAGAGGGATGGATCCATATTTTAAGTCATACTGTAAGTTAAGTATCACAGTTTGATCTGAATCCATGTGCTCTGGTGTCCTAGAAAACAAAATAGTCATGTATATGCTGTGCCTAATTCTTGCTCCATCATTGAGTTATTTGACCAATAATATCACCCAAGAAGCAGAATTTACTTCTCCTTTAGGTCTTTGGTTTTGAAGAACCCTTGTTTCTATAGAGATGTGGTGTAAATTTGTTTTTTCTTCCAGTTGAGCCCTCAACAACCCACAGGTCAAATGAAATGGTCCCACCTTCCCACTTATTTACTCTGTGTTCTTTCAGAGCATCCCAGATAACAGCAGAGGAGGGTTGCTGGACAAATCAGTAGGTTGTCATGAAATTTGTAATATATACAGTTTAAATGGATCAGGGACAGGGGGACTTGTTTAAGGTCTCTTGTATTCCTCTGGTGTAGCTTTGTGGAAGAATCTCTGACCTTTGTACAACCTGCATCTCTGTGCTGATAAGACACAAAGTGCTGAACAGGGTGAAGAAGCCGACTGCGCCAACCTGACAGGCATGGGCAGTCTGGTGAGGCACTGTTCCAGCCTCTTCCTCCCCAGAACCCGTCGCCGGGGCAGGCATGCTTCTTGTTTACTCTGAGCAGCATAACAGAAAATTCATTAAGCTTTGCATTTGCCAAAACCAGTTGGAAGTGATTTCTGCTAATGATACCTGAACATCCTAGCAGTCAATAGATGGCATCACTAGCGTTTTAGAGAGACACCATTATGTTGTCCACATTGGTACTGCATCTTAGATTCTTTCCTCTGACAGGGCCTGATGCTCCATGCTGCTGACAAGGAGTTCATTGATGACATCTTCCTTCTTTAAGCGAGTCATTTTGGACCACAAGATGCGGTGTAAGAAATGTTATAAAACTCTGGTTTTACTGCTAATATAAGTCTAACTCTGTTGGCAAGATTAACAGAACATACTATAGAGGTAACTGTTACATGAATAGCCTTAGTAATTAGTAACCATTATCGTAGAAATAAGAAAGAATCTTTAAACTTTAGGTGCCAGGATGGTGTTTTCTTGTTAGAAGAAACATCATGACAGTTGTGAACGGGGTTAGCAACAGGCAGAGCCGGCACCATCCAGTGGGAACAGGCAGCAAGGCACCAGCAGTGACCAGCACTGACATCTGAGTTGCTGCAAAGTCAAGGTGCAGGATAACCAGATGGCGGAGGGTCACTTCGGGGTGCCTATTCACCAACCAGTACCAAATTACTTCAATATTTTCACAGTTGCTTAAACTGCTGAACGAACTAACTACCTGTTCTGGTTGTTAACACACACCATGCCAGTTAAACCCAATCAGATGCTTGTTACTAAGCACTGCAATCACTAATTACAATGCAAATATAAGAGGGGCATATTCTTGCCAATGACTGTTTAATGTCACTAGGAATTTCAGGCATTTTTCAAGGAGATGTGGGATTAAACCATTTAAAATATACATCACATGGTGATATACTTACAACTGCTGCAAAGATGTATTTCTGGTCTTTTTCTTGTAAAAAGAGCAGCACATCAGTTAGAAGTAGAGCTAGGATATCTTCAAAGAAAAAAAGCATTATTAGGATTAATGAAGCAAACCACAGTTCAAACGCCATCATTAAACATTGTGATTTCATGTTTGAAATTTAAATAAATTTATTAGAAATCAAAAGACTAAGATTTAGTCTAATTGTAAACTTTTATAAAAATGCCTGTATTATGCTAGCCAAAGATATTTTTATAGATACAGATAAGCTGTGTTTGGTATGCATGTTTATATGTGTAACTAAAAGTATTGCTAAATCTCCAACAAAATTTAATGCTGTAGCTTATAAAAAGGGAGAAAAATATCCAATTAAAAAAAGGTTTTAATAGACTGAAGCAAGCCCTTACCTTTATGGGGAATAAAAGGTGTATAATCAAAAAATGTTAGAAAGCAGCTTCTACCTTGAATTATATATAAAAATCTGCTATTTTGTTCCATCTAGTTCTGAGGGAACTTTGAGATCCTATACGTCCCTTACAAATTGTGCACAAAAACCCATCTTCACGATACCATTAACCATTCTGACACAGCTACCAAACTAGTGATTCTGTGAAATGGATAAAGAGCAAGCGACTTGGACATATAGGATCTACAGGTTGTGCTTAATATTTTACTTTGGTTAACATTCTAACTGAGATAACGTTTAGTTGCAGCATGGCAAGTTGCTGATCAACAAATCCCATTTCAGCCATTAGCGGCAACCACCACCGAAACTTGACCATCCTCCAAAGGATGCAACGCCCTCTCAGTGCTTACCTAAGGGCGTTAAGGTGTGTTAAAAACAAGAACAGACCAAAGTTCTTAACCTGGCTGCACAGCAGACTCAGGTGGGAGCTTTTAAGCATCCTTATACTTGAGCTTCATCCCCAGACCGATACACTCAGAATTTCTGGGAGGAGACAAGCAGTTGTAAATTTCTAAGCTCCAGAGGTGATTCTAGAGTGTGGTCAGGGTTGAGAAAGCCTAGATCAAACAAGATACTAGCTGCAGAATCAGCCCTTAAGAATCTGAATAAACTGTTTTGGACCCAGAGTCACATTAATGCCCATTAGCAAACAATAGCACTGAGGAAGCATTTACACCAGTGTAAACATGTCTACACAGTGTATTACTCAGGAACAAAGGTGACATCCAGAGCCCATTTCTCCCCTCAGTGGTCCGCCAGTCTGGAGCCGGGGTGGCACACAACAGCCTCCAGGTGTGCGGGTGCACTGCATTTGCCAGATTAGCACTTCTGTGCCAACAATTAGCAGAATTTTCAGTTCCTTTGATTCCAACATCATGAACTTGTGCATTCATAAAATACGTATGACGGCTTTTGGCTTAGAGCAGCAAACCCCGACCAAAGATTTGTTGCATTGGCCACACTGTCTATGGAAGTTCACACCTCAATCCTACAGGAATTTTTCCACTGACCCAGGGTTTGTGTGTGTGGGTACATCTCTGAAACACTTTTCTTTCAAAAATCTTCCCTTTGTTAAATGAATAACATGTGTAGAAAAAAAAATAGAGAGAGAAATTGGTCTGTTGGAGTTACAGTACCTTTGAAACGGCCCGTAGCAGTTTTCCAAAAAACAAGGCCATCGTACAACAGAGTCCTTTCCTTGCTTATCAGTGCCTGCTTCCTAAACACATGGCCGTTTTTGAGCTTTGTATATGTTTTATTTTCAATCTTACTTAGGATCTCAAGCCATTTTTGGTTTTTCTCATATTCGCTGACTTTTAAATCCACTGCTGCAATCATGTCTTTAATTAAGCAAAGAGCTTTGCATAAGTCTTTATGTTCTTCTGTTTTTTCTGCATGGGGGAAAAAAAAAAAAAGAAAGAACATTATACAATAAGCCAGAGTGCTAAGGGAGACACTTTTTTTCTATAGTTTTAAATACAGTTAAATGTATCGTCCAAATAGCAAAAATCTCATAACAAAAATGTTGGATTAAACTCAAATACCACATTAGCACCATGTACCCCTCCTCCTCCACAAAGAACTGTTAAAAGATTTAATTATAAAAGATTTGCTTATCAGATGTGCTTCAGCTGAAACTCTGTGAAAATAGGATGTCTGGTTTCTAGGGACTGGTTTGACCTTCCCTTAGAGCAGAGAATGTCTTATATACAGGGCGGGGCAAAAGCAGGTTTACAGTTGTTCATTCATATGGAAGGAATACAATAATTACTAAATAATAGTACAATAAACTCTGTTTCACATACAACTGTAAACCTAACTTTGCCCCACCATGTATACTGTCTTAGGCCTTCCTTCCACCTTGCCCGACACAGGTAACCAAGTAATCGCCACACCAGGTTTCTCAGGACTCAAGCCACAGGCCCACATTAGAGTCCTTTCAGAAACTGGAACTTCAGGTTGCCTCGAGTGGGCCCGGGCTCAGTTGCTTTCCTGGATCTCTTCCTCCATAAAAATAATACTCAATATTATATTTTACAATGGCATTAGCATGGAGATAAATATATCAATAATACATATTAAACATTTTTCAAACTAAAAATTGGACCAAGGCACTGTGCCTAGTGACTCATGCCAACAGAGCAGATAATCACCAATTCCAGTTATTATTCTTTTTATTTTATTTACTTATTTTTTAGAGAGAATGGAAGAGAGTGAGAAAGAGGGAGAGAGACATTGATATGCGAGAGAGATGTTAACTAGCTGCCTTTTGCACACTCCCAACTGGGGACCTGGTTCTCAACCCAGGCATGTGCCCTGACCGGGAATTGAACTGGCAACCCTCAGGTCTGTAGACTGGTACTCAATCCACTGAGCCGCACCAGCCAGGGCCAGTTGTTATTCTTTAAAACATTGACCACTTCCTCTTACCTTTGGATTATCTTAAGCAAAACCTATAGAGGGCTTTCTGTAACAGCCTTCTGAAACTTTGGATGAAATTGAGTATAGCTATTTTCTATATTTGAGGATTTGAAAACCACCTAGTTGATGTTTATTGAGGCAAATGGAACTGAAGGGAAAAGTTTCAGGAGATTAGAAGGTGCTAAAATATGAGAGAGAAAATTGGCAGAGAAAATAAAAGGTTCTCCAGAGCCTAAAGCAGCAGAAATAAACATGTAAGAACAGAAGTCAAGTGGAATGAGAACAAGTCCTCCAAAGGGTCCAAACAATTCACATTCGAAATGTCTTAAATAGATATAAGGGGATCTGTCAGAAAATCTCAAGGGACAGAAACATACATTCATCTTTACCAAGGACAATTCCTTCTCATGAAAGAATATCCTCTTGCCCGTGAAAGAATACTATTTTACTACACCTGCTGCCCACTAAGCAGCCCCTGCCTCCACAAAATTCTTCATTCTAAAGAGCATATTGCACGAAGAGGAAAGCTGAGTACAGAAAGTCAATGTTGAGTTACAAGGTGACTTGGGGTAAGGCCAAGAAAAGGCTCAACGTTGAAAGAAACAGAACTTTTCAGAGACAAATTACTGTCTTTCAATAGCTTGTTGCTCAAAGTATAGGAGCATTAGCCCCACCTGGGAATATTGTTAAAAATGCTTCCCTTAGATTCTACCTCAGACCTACTAAATCAGAATCTACACATAAACAAGATCCCCAGGTGAAGGGTAATTCTTAAGAAAGTTTGAGAAGCACTGCCATAATAGAGTCATGTGCACCAATGTTCCCAGGAGCCAGAGAGAACCGATCACTGGTAAAGTCTGAGGAGGTGGTGTCCAGAGCCACTATGACAGCTGTATGTGAGGAGTCAAATGCATAATTATCATGTCTGACAGACACACAGTAGGCAACTGTTATTCATTCTAGCAGGAAATTGGCATGGAATGATTCTTGGAGCTGACTTAATACAACCTAACAAATTTTAGTCTTTGAAGTATTGTATTAAGCTTAAGAGAATATGAAAATAATACAGTCTGAAAGTCTTGATTTTGTTTTCATTCTTTTTGCTTAAAACAAAATTTGAGGCTTTTCTCTGTGTATGGTGCTTTCATTTTCTTTTATGTTATATTATAAGGAGCAAAAAGAATGGGACACAGGGAACAGATGGTACTCAGACTCCTCAAAAAAAGGATGTTAGAAGTTGACTGTTTTAGAGTTGGCATATGAGATCTCATTGATCTTACATGGTATCTTAAAGAAAATGCTGTCTTTTTCATTATTTCTCAGCCAACTGATCCTAACAAAGATAATGAAAACAGTTCCCACTTACCAAGCACCTTGTGTTCGGAGGCAATGTCTGCACTAGGCATTTTCTGAGACAGTCTCACTTAATCCTCACAACAATTCCACAAGACAAGGATTATGATTCTTACTTGGTACTGGGGAAAACTGAGGCTCATTTAATGAACTTGTCTGACCAATGAGCATCAGGAAAAAGTATATGCAGCAGCAATGCAAGTTTACACAATTCCAAAGCCAGGTCCTTGTTAATATAACACACTAGCCCCCAATCATAATAAACTTGAGATCAATAAGCTAGATTGAGGAACAAGCATTTTCATTTATTCATTCATTGCAGTGACATGTGTGTGTTTATTGATTAGGCTATTCTATACCAGCCATAGCACGAGGCATTGAAGACCAACTAGTGAACTGGACAAAAGCCTTCCACATCCCTCCAAGAGCCTACAATCCAGCCACATGCATTAATAGCTCCTTAAAGGATGCCCAGATGTTACTCCCTGGAAATTAATGAACTGATAGGGTCAAAAATAGCTCCTGCATAAAGCATTCTCAATCTAATAATTCACTGCTTTGGAGAGTTGACATTTGTTGCTAGGATCAATCACATGTGTTTCATCAGACTGCTTGGGAGGTAGTAGGAAGATGAGGATGAGGAGGCATTGAGAAGGTCTGTATATGAAAGAACTATAGACAAGAAAGGCAAGGTCAAAGTCTGAAGAAGTCTGACTGGTTTGGGCTGCTTGGAGGACTTCAGGCTATTGGCCAAGCCACATTATAAAAGATAACTTTTCAAAATAGATAAATCCTAAGGCTTTAACTGTTTTTTCATAATAAAAAATTTTTATGAATCAGAGGCCACAAGCATTTATCGCTGTTTACAACAGCTCAGGCATGTTTCAAACTAACGAAAGAGGCACATGATTGTCCCAGAAGCCATCACTCACCTTTTGTGTACTGCAATATTCTCTCCACCAAGACAGGGTATTTCGTGATGCGCTGAGTGACTAACAGGATGCACTCGGGAATTCCTCGACGTCGAGCCAAAAGATTACTATTTCGGAGCTTAAAAAATATAGATAGGTTTTTATATTCACAAACTCTACATGTATTTTCTTTTTGTTTTTGTTTTTGGAACATTTATGTTATAATGTAAAGCATATATAGAAAATGACACAAATGTATGACCTAATGTCCATCACAAGATGAACATCCCAATGTCCAGAGAAAGAAACAGAACTTTGCCAACGACACCGAAGTCCCTCTGTTGGCCCCGTCACCATCACAGCTCCTTCACTTCCCACAGAAGTAACCACTATCTGCCTGTTATCGTCGCATTTTCTCATTTATAATTTCTACATATGATATAAGCCCCGGAAGACAGTTATTATTATTCCATTAAACTATAATAATCTTTAGAAATTTTTTGTATACTTTTTTATTGTTGTTCAATTACAGTGGTCCCAAATTTTGCCCCATTCCTCTCCCCTGCCCTGCCCACTCTCCGCCTCCCACATTCAATCCTCCCCACCGCGCTGTCTTTGCCCACGGGTCCTTTATACATGTTCCTTGACTTGACCCTTCCCCTTCTTTATAGGTGTGAATACAAATAACCTGCAACAGCATATTTCTATTCAGACACAACACAATATACATTATCATTGAAACTTGATGCATTGATTGTCATGAAATTATACACTTTGTCATTAATTTCAATAACCCCGATCTCCAAGATTTCAAGAAGTTTTAAGTTCCTCTTATGTACTTGTAGTTAATTCCAAAAGCAAGTATGTTCTAATATGTATAAGTGATAAGATTCATGAACAGCAAGTTTTAAAAAATGCTCAGAAATCAAAGTTAGATTTTGAGTATGAGTTTGCAGCTGTGTTTTTCCAACAACTCTTCCTCTTTATGTGCTATTATTCATCATAGAACTTAAAGTTTCCTCTAATCAGGGCAACTTTTTTCTAGAAATTTCTAAGTACTATTTAAGTTTTCAAGCTCTCAATATACAATACATGTATGTGGGAGAGAAAAAAGGAGTTGTATCTGTTAGAATTTTTTAAATGGTAGATTAAAAAAATTAGAATCCATGAAATGCTAAAGGGCAAATTTCTTCTTAAAATAAATAAGATGCAAAAAAGTAAAGGAGAACATTTAAATTAAAAGAGATTTAAAAGATGTAACCCCCTTATATAATTGTGAACCTTGGTCAGATCCTGATTTAAACAATTCAATTTTATGAAATAATTGGGGAAATTCAAATACTGGCTAACTGTTGGAAAATATTAAAGAATTAGTTTTAATTCATCTAAGTGTGATAATGTCATTGTAATTTTTAAAAAGATATCACATTGTTTAGAGAGATGCACAGGAAATGAGGTAAGCTATGGATCTGTTTCAAACCAAGCTTGTGGGGGTGGAGGGTTCCTGTCTTTATTTTTACTGCTTCTTCTGATTTATAATTTGTCAGGGCATGAAATAGTTTCACAGGATATTACAAAGATATTCATAAACTTGGGGGTCACGATTTCACACATATAAGCTCCAAAAGAAAATGATTTAGAAGAAATAATTTACTAACACAGAAAAAAAGACTTTCCATTTTGGCCACAAAATTATTAGTACTAACTTCCTTCTCCTTCCCCTGAAAAACAGCACCCGCACCTAAAACCGAACCTTAGATCACATAAGAAATAAGCATGAGCCATTTTCCCATCCTGGTTTACCACTGTGTAATAGAGTTTTAAAATACTTGCCTTAATAAAATTCTGAAACTTTTTATTCTGCTGGAGTTCTTTAAATAGGCTAACGGCTTCTTTGTGATGGCTACAGAATTCTCCATATATTTTCTTCATTTTATTTGCATTTTCTTCTGAGAACTGAAAATAACATTTCAATGATGATTTATAAATTGAGTCATTTCTAAAGACTAAAGGAAAAATGCAATTTTCATATATTTCCATACTTTTTTTGCAAATAAAGAATAAACATCATGGTTTCCAAAGCTCAATACTGATGAACATATGTTAAGACAATTGCCTATTTATTAATCTACTAATAGACAATAATATTTGCATGTTCTGTCTATTAATGGGCCCACTTCTTAGCAATATTATAAGTGTTTTATAAAAGCTCATGTTACTTTTCTGGTCTTTTCATGGCATTTGAGTAAAGTAACTGTTTACAGTACAAAAAGAAAGAATAAACATCATGGAACTTCTGAACACAATCGCTTCTCTTCCCCAAATACTTTTTAAATTAAAATAAAGGAACGTAGTCAAGAGCTAAGGGGAAGACAGCAACCTAATGTGATTATATTATATCAAACTAACTCAATTATCAAATAGCCAAATGAAAAACATTTGATATACTTTATTCTTTTTTAGTTTTTGTGCAACTTCATCATTTCACTTTACAGCCTGAACACTTCCACAGACTGAAGAAAAGGCCATGTAGCAGCACGCGGGGGCGCTCAGCAAGGGCGCTCTCGCCGGCGGGCATTCACACCGGCTCCCTGATCACGCCCAAGGACTCAGCGCCCAGCTGGGACTTTGACTGCCTGAGCACGTCACAAATGGATCAAGAGGCAGGGAATCATTAGCCAAGATGAAAGAGGAACGTGAATAACTAAGATGCCAATTAATTAACTGATGGAGAGAAGTAGAGATGCGCGGTATATTTCAATAAGCTTGACATACAGAAAAATCTCTGTCTCCCAGGCATGAACTCTAGGGCTGTAATGATACTAGATCTGCCCACTCTTCCCAAATCGAGCCAGTGCTTGTCTTGGAGATGCTGGTAAGACTATTACTGCCCTGCTGGGGGAGCCATATTACTGGAGAGCCATCACAGTAAGAACTTAAGGTAGAACTGTCATAAATGGATTTATTTCTGGCTGTGACTTCCAGTTGAGGCAGCGCTAGGGCAATGATCCAGTCAAGTCCTGTGACACAGAAGAGCCAGTCAATGACTAGTAAAAGCTCTCGGGCATCAGTCGTACAAACCAACATCAAATAAAAGAAAACCAGCCCAAACCATCTGTCAATCAAAATGAACGCAATTCCAGATCTCCCTAAGCTTTTAACACTATAGAGAGTCTGCACACCTTTCGGTTTTTGAGGTTAGGGCCTTTAAACATCTCTTACCTGTTGTACTAGAATGTCTCCAATTCGGTTAATGACAAAATTCCTGTCATTGTCTGCACAGGATTCCTGCCTCCGCTCCTTCATGCTATAGAAGAAATGTCTATGAATCTCGAGTAACTCATCTAAACAGGGGAAGATTTTATCCACAGTGCTGTGGTCGAGCTGCAGCTCCTCTTTCATCCCTTTCCTGAAGATCTCAGACATGATGAACAGGGTCTGGATGTGATGCATTTCTGTTTGCATTAGCTCTGAAAACACGTGAGCAGAAACAAGCTTTTAAAATCTAGTATCCCTACTGACTTAAATTAGTAGCTAAACACTACAGGTTGCGCAATTTAAAAAGAAGAAATGTTTAAAAATAACCTTCTTCCATTATAAAAGCATCAATTAAACATTAATGTAAGCTTAAGTTGACATTGTTTTTCCAGATATGAGGATACACATAAGTCAAGTCCAATACATAAGAATCCAATGTATCTGAAACTCTCATAACACAACTAGCTAGCATCTTTATGTAGCTTCAGCTAGGAACCAGGTCTTATTCTCCCTTGAGTGCTCTATACAATAAATCTTATTTTGTCTGTTTTGCTTATTGGATTGTTGGGTTTGTTTTTTCTTTTTTGTATTGAGTAGGAATACAATTAATTTGGTGAATTAAATTGAATGAAATACAATAAAGTCCCCCAAAGCAGACAATAGTAGGCCATTTCTATTCTGGATCTGTCTCTAAAATTACACTTTATCCAGGGGAAAACAATGTCTCATGATCAAGGGACATCATTGAGAAAATGATGGAATGGGAGAAAATATTTACAAATCATATATCCAGCAAGGGATTTGTGTCTAGAATATATAACGATCTCTCACAACAACAACAACAACAACAACCCATTTCAAAAATAGGCAAAATATTTGAATAGATGTTTCCTCAAAGGGATATACAAGTGGCCAATATCCACATCATTGGCTATCAAGGAAACGCAACCAAAACCAAAGTGAGAAAACCACTTCACATACCCTAGAATAACTGTAATAAAAAGATGGACAATGAGGAAGCGCTGGTGAGGCGAGGAGGTGGAAAACGGAATGTGCATACATTGTCAATGGGTATGTAAAATGGCGCAGCTGCTTTGGAAAATAGCCTGGTAGTTCCTCAAAAGTTACCATATGACTCCAAAAGTGGAAAAAGCCCAAAATATCCATCAACTAATGATTAGATGAACAGAATATGGTATATTTATACAATGAAATATTTAGCCATCGAAGAAACCGAGACTGATATATACTACCACATTGATGAATCTTGAAAACATCATGCTAAGTGAAAGAAGTCAGTCACAAAGAACCTCATAGTGTATGACTCCATTTATATATAACATGTTCAGAATAAGCAAATCTATAGAAACTGACAGTAGGTTAGTGGTTGCCAGGGGCTAATTGGGAGGGGGAAATGGGGAATGACTACTAATGGATGCAGTTTCTTTTTGGAGTGATGAAAATTCTCTGGAATTAGATAGCATTTGATGGCTGCACAACTTTAAGAATATACTAAAAACCACTAGGTTCACTATAAAGGAGTAAACTTAATGACATGTGAATTAAATCTTAATTTTAAAAATGCGTTGTGAGAGAAAATAATAATTCACAACTTGTGGGAGCACCAGGAGTCCTAGATAAGTAGTTCCAAACTCACATGTTTTCAGAAAGAATCTAAAATAGTAGCCAGGGAGGGCAAACAAATCTAGATATAACTTTTTTTATCATAAACAAAAATCTCTTTAATTGGGAACCCACTAACTTCAAATTCTTACCATGATTTAGTGCTAAACACATATCCATATCATTTCATTTAATCCTCTAATCCATTTATCTATTAAGAACCCCCCCCAAATCAAATAGAAATGCTTTCCTTTACCTTTAAAAGTGAGACAAAAAGAAAGGTGAGGGAATTTCCCCATAACCCAAGACTTTCTGACACAAAAGCCCACGCAGTGAAGTACCCTACCTGATAAATTCATACAAAATGGGTTAGTTTTAATAATACATGAAATCAAAAGACAAATGAAGAAAAATTACAACATAATATAAACTGCATGAGGAATACTAAAGGGGACAGCACCTTCCTTTCCAAAGTAACTCCCACTGACACAGCTCTGGACAGATTTCAAAGCATGTTTGCATATCATCTCACCTGACCTGCATAGCCACCACCCAGCCCAGGTGAGAGGGGGGTCTTCATTTGCCAATGGATTTTTTTGGCCATATTTGTGTATAGGCATTCCTCATTTTATTGTATGTGTATTAGAGATTGAAGGCAAGACCCTCCACAAGCAAAAAAAATAGAAATAAAAATTATGAGTCACTTTATTGCGATACTCACTGTTTTGTGGGGGCCTGGAACTGAACCTGACATATCTCCAAGCTCTGTCTATACTCAGGATCAGTTAAAACTAAGAGCTAGTCTTATCTTCCAAATAGGGTGTCTTCTTGGAACCAGTATTTAGCATCTACTTTGTATTTGAAAAACTTTTAAACCTCATTTTTTTCCAAATAGTGCATAATTGAACTTCCCCTGAATCAGACTGCCTCCACCCCAAGCGGCATGAAACAGGAAAACATCACCAGAGTTGACCTCCATGTGCAGGAGCACAGCATACCGTCACGCATTGCCCTGACCCGGGTGCTGCCAGTCCCATTCCAGTCTACATGAATGGCAGCCTCTGGTGTGTGCGGGCAAATTACAGGGTCATTTATGCATCAGCCTGTCCATCCAACATCAACCTATGTGAAATGTTACTGTGATTCTTTTAATAGCAGAGCCAGAAGTGTATAGGTCATGCCTAAGTAAACTTGAAAAAGGTGTGAGAAAATCTGCTTTGTACGAGGTGTATACAATGCCCCACTTAATTCTCACAACATTTTAAACCCAAGTATCATCATGCCCACTTTACAGAGAGAGAAACTGAGGTCCAGGTGAGTTAAACAACTTGCCGAGATCAAGTAGCTAGAAAATGGTAGAAATGGGATTTGAACCCAGGTCTAAATGGTTTCAAATTCTAGGTTTCTTCCTCTACATGCCGTTGCTTCATCCCAAGGGGCATATCTGAAAGACTTACCGAAAATGACATCCTGTCTTTTGATGACATCCTTCTCCTGCCGACTACAAAACGAGGGGTCCACCACAAGACTCCAAGATTCTGCTTCGAACTCCTGGGCATCGCTGCTGAGGTCGCTCCACAGAGAAGAATCCATGACATCTAAAGTGTTTTTAGAAGAATCCAAAGGAGAGGAACACGTGAAACACAAACAGACCTATGCGAGCACCCATGTTTATGGATTCATCACACTAAATAAACATGCTACAAACATAGAAACAATGAAGCCAAAATACTGTTGATATGGAGTTGAAATATCCGAAAACCAAGACTGCTCTCATGAAAGCAAAGAAGAATCATATATTAATACAGTGATTGTGTATATGCCAAAAAAGGATATTTGAAGATTCTTTTGCTTGTTTGTTTTGGTGTGCTTGCTCTATTTTAGTTTTAATTTTGGTAACCTTCAACGTCTACAATGTGCCTGCAGAATCTTGAACACACTGATTTCTTTTGCCCTGGGCTATTCTGCATTCTTTACGCAAATCTGAATTTTGTACTTGTCCACTTGATTTGCTCTTTATTTGGCTTGCTGTCCTTAATATAAACATGAAGCACAGTGAGGACTCAAGTCACATGTGAGTACAGATTTTTCTGACAGAATTTGACAACACACACATACACACACTCACACCCTCTTCAGGAAAACTAAATTCTATTTGTCCAAACAGTACTCCTGAGAGTGATTCCAGCTCAGAGCAATAATGATGATATGACAATGAATTTAAAGGTTTAAGTTTAAAATAAAGGAAAGAGATTCCTGGGGCAAAGTTCCCTCCTTTCTCTTGTCACTACCCTCCTGTCATTCGGTCTCCTTTCGCTTATTGCTCTAAGTTGGATACAATAAGCAATTCCCCAGATTAAGTCCTAGCCTACAAAATATGCTCTTTAAAAAAATGCTTTTATTCCACTAGAAGTAGGAGGCAACAGATGGGGATAAATATCTCAGAGTTCCAAGTAAGTCCTTTTTTAACTAACTGAAATATATATATATTTTTAATATGTAATCCTATTTCAATTCATTAACAGGTGTAAAAATTTTTGAAAGTATAACAAACATATTGTGCCTATCATCTCTTCATTATGTTTATGACATATGTCCATTTAAAAAAATACATATTTCCTTTGTCACTCTATGGAAGTCTTCTTTGGGCTGAATTTTCTTTTTTCTTTTTTTTTTTAATCAGAAGAACCCACACCACAGAGACACCATGAAACAGAATTCTTCTAAAAATAACAAGGAATATTTTTCAATCTTATAGCTTTCAGAAAGTATTCCATTTGACAAATGCTCACAGAAACACAAGGACATGCAAATGCATCTTTTTCTCACCTTCCATTAAGAAAGACTCCGTGGAGGGAGATGATCCCATGGACTGTAAAAGCTCATCAGAATGAGACCTGCTTCTCCAGGGGTTCCCGTCAGTCTCTGACTCCAAGGAGGTCCCTGACTTCCTGAAGCTGGAGGGAAGGAGAAGAGTTAGCCCAGCAGCGAGTGGCTCTGAGACGTGAGAATGTGAAACCACACTGAGCCTTACCTGTCCAAGGTGGCGCCTGGAACGCTTCTGGACAGCGAATGGACCTGCCCCGCAGTGTCCTTCTTCCCAGTGGGCAATCCGATCGGCATGGAGGAAGAAGGGTGCAAGGAGAGACCAGGCAAGGGGATGTCTCTAAGTGAAGAATCTGGAAATCAGAATGGATGCTTCATGCATGTTCACAGATGGCAGTGACAACAAGTACAGGACGTCGCCTAAAAGCCAGAAAGCTGAACACTCAAATGGCCTCTTCTAATGTATCGCATGCTCAGCCTTGAAACCGGTCTCCCTGCCACTTCCCAATATGTGCTTCAAATGTCCCTTCTATTTCACACCCTCTCCTGAGAGCCAGGCTGCAGGCCTACTCCGGCATATCCACTTGGAGACTGTGGGTGGCTGGGTTACACACACAAACAAGAAAATGGAACAGGGAAACACTGGGACAGCTTTCTCATAAACCACTGCTTGTGCTCCTTAGAGCCGGCTTCACATAGGTGCAACGTGTTATTAGCACCATTACTGCAATGCATCTTGTGTGTATAAACAAGCACATGCACTCACAGAGCAGGTCAATGGATTGGAATGATGCTGGGGAGCCTGTTTCTTTATGGCCTAAGAATTTCAGGCAAATAAAGCCTTCAAACCAAGCTGGACTGTCTCTCACACATACTGAAAACTAAACAGTGCTTCAGTACCTCTTTGGTCAGTTCTAAAATTCAATGGGCATAGATGCCTTTACATTTGGTGTGTACTATCAGTAACTCTCAGAAAATACTTCTGTCTTATTATATGGAAATACTTAGATGGAACTCCAGGATATTACTAGGAATTTGATATGTATGCTTTAACTGTATTCTCATAACTCCCAAGTAAAGAGAGGGAGTAGATGGCATTACATTAATTCTAAGATGCTTTTTACTTTCATGCTTAACCTTATGAAATTGAGAAGTAACTTACAACTGAGGTCAAAGGGACTTCTGGTGTCATAGCAGCGGAGTAAACGGTGTCACATTTGTATGGAGAGCACAGGCTCAACCTTGTGTAGCATACCACCCAACCTCATTCACCATGGATCTGCATACCTCATTGTCCCCTAATGCAAGTGGTTTTAAAAACACTGGTCACACTTTGTTACAGCCTTGAAATGAAAAGGACCACAAACTTAAAATGCCTGCCACATGGCAAACAGTGCAATTTGAGCCAGAGGAAACTGCAGAACCTCTCACAACAAATTAAAGGATTTCGATCTAGGACTGGTTCTTGCACGCAATGTAAAGAACTGTCAAAGGCTGCAATTATGTTCAAGAGAAATGTTTAAACTTCAGCCATATATAACTCAAGAAAAAACAGAGCCATGAAATCTAACAATATGCAAACAAAACTTAGATATGCCCTGAAATTTCACTACCATTCTAGAGGAGCTAATGAGATCATAGCTTCAAGCACAACTAATAAAAAGTATGAGGTTTTCATGAAAATGGACAGCAGGGAATGATAAGAATCCATGGATTCCAAACTTGAAGATTTCTTGCCCTGAACTTTGTGATTCTTAAGAAATGTGTGGTGTGTACTTGTGTGGATAAATATGTATTACAGCTAGGAAAACATAAAATTATGTACATTTAATGTAGTGTTTCTCTTCTCCCCTAAAAGGTCATTAAATCAGTAGTGCATATTATACCAGATCACATCTTAGAATTGAGGCAAAATCATAATACCTCCTCCATATAATCCTCCCTAATATGAAAGATCATAACAACTATGCTGTACACCTGAAACTAATAGATAATAATATTGAATGTAAACTATAATATAAAATTCTTAAAAAGATCATATAGTAATATAGTACAAGGGCTATTAGGTTGCCACAGAAGTTTATGACATTCTTGACCTCTTTGTATAACTAGTAATTATGCCAAGCATATGTTATGAAAAAAGAAATAATTGGGCAAATGAGAAAACAAAAGGAAGGAGTATTTTACATTGGAAAAATCTGTGGTATGTATGAAACTGAAAAAATTCTTGTTTTCCACATCACTTACTTCCAAGGATGGTCTGCGGTTTGTTCTTGTTATATTTCTCTTGGAATTTCTGGTAAAGAACATTAGAAACACATAAAATAAGATCAAAGCTCCAATGGGCTACAAGAATGTCCACACAATACACAGAATAGGATTCTTATCTTCATCATTTTCATTGCTATTTTATTTCAGAGAGGAATTCAAAGCAAAAGGCATTAAATGCAACAAAGAAAAATGCTATGATAATGAGATGCACAAGTTATAATGAACATGTGTGTGTCTCCTGAAAACGTCTCATGAATGTCCCAGCTTTATTAAAAGCCAAGAGGAACTAGGAGTCTCTAGCTTGCGTGCAGGCTGAAAGGGGAGTTCCTGTTAGCTCTGTCTTTCTCCTGCTTGTTTCTCTCTACTCCTGGCTATTCTTCCTGCTTACGGGACACAGCTTTGAGCATTGAAACATCACCCCCAACTCTGTGACCTGACACAGTGTATGTTGCAGTTAACGGTCATCACACTTACTTACATGCATTTCTGACATGCCTTTAGAGTGGGAAAGAAAGGAATAGAATGACAGATGCCTTCATCTACTTAGCCCACCCCAAACACAGAGAACATTGTTCTAGTCCCAAGAGCCTCACATTATAGTCCCCAGGACCAGCTGCATCTCCAAGGAACTTGTTAAACATGCAAAATCTCAGGCCCCACCCAGAGCTACTGGGTCAGAAATTCTGAAAGTGGAGCCCAGAAATCTGTGTTCGAACAAGTCCTGCAGGTGAATCTGATGTGTTCTGATGCTTGAGAGTTAGTGCTGTAGCCTTCATTCACATACATTGAGGGTTTGCACCGATAAGCCAAGTAGGTTCCAACAGAAAGGCCACCCCACCCACACTGCGTAACACAGGTGGCCAGCCTGAAGCCTTCCCTCTGGTTCTGAGAGCACATAGTTAAGGGAATAACTATACACTGGGAGCATGAGTTATTTTATCACTACAGTGATCATTTTAGAAATAAATTTATACACTAATGGAAGAGTAACAACCTACACATCCAAGCTAGACACAAATATGTATATTCACAAGTAACAGAAGTTACCTTGGGACAGGGAGGTGCAGTGTCTTTACAACCTTTATGTACATTCGCATTACAGTCTGAAACAAAAGGAAAAGATAGAAAAGCATGTCTTAAGTTATTCAGAAATGAGTAAGACTACATCAAGGTTTTTACTGGTCATTATAAAAATAGCACATTCACATAAAAATATTTAGAAAATTTAAAGAAACAATATTAAATCACATGTAACCCCACCACTCAAGCACAAGCGCACTGTTAATGGTATAATTTCCTTGGAGATGTTGTTCCCGTTTTGCACAGGGAGTTACCAATTACGACTCCTGGAATTAAGCATCGCGTACACTGCTGTCTGCCTGAGAACTCATTTACTACTACAGGCCTAGATTGTAAGGAATTTCTGACATCTGGCTGGTAGCAACTGCCACTCCTACACCGGTAAAGTGCCTATGGAAATGGAAAGAAAGAAAAACAACACTACTGGGAAAAAAGTATTATCTGGTTCCAACAGGAATTCTTACTAACTAAAGGTAGCCAAGTTAAAAGGGAAGAGTTAGTGGCTTGCTTGTGTTTTATTTCATGAAACAATGTGGCCTCATCTCACTGGAAGAAGTAAGCGAGCACTCGACTTGCCCCTTTCTGTCTGCTGGCTCAGAGACCCAAGTTGTCATCACAGAAAACTGCCCCTGTGTGGGGAGTGTTTTCTGCCAGGCCGCTGTCTTCCTGTCCTCTCTCTCCTCCCACTCAGCAGGACCACCCCATCCTACCCATCCTCATGCTGTGTGTGAATGGAGGAAGCTTCAGCTTATCAGAAGCTTCATTAGAAAGAATTCTTCCACAGGGGTAAACAGTCCCATTTAGGTCCATCAAAGCCACACCAAAAAAGTGCCCATTGCCCTGGCCAGGTGGCTCAGTTGGTTGGAGCATCATCCATGCCAAAAGGTTGTAGGTTCGATTCCTGGTCAGGGCACAGGCCTAGGTTGCGGGTTCAATCCCTGGACTGGGGTGTGTATGGGAGGCAACCAATCAAGGTTTTTCTTTTTCTTTCTCTCTCTCTCTCTCTCTCTCTTGCAAATCAATTTTTTGAGGGGAGGGGATGGGAAAGAAAAGTGCCCATAAGCCCCTGGGCAGAGAGCTGAACCCAACCACCATCCCACTTGTAGGTGTGCAGAGGCCTTTTAGCCAACACCTCAATGGCCCGTGAAGAGAGCCCAGGCTGACCCACAAGTTGGCCCTGCTGGCAACCATGGAAATCAGACAGCTCTTTTCTCATTCCAGAACAAGCAAATAAGTTAAAAAGAAAAAAAGGAGCTATGAGCTACCACGGAATGAAGTTATACTGTAAACAAACAGGGAGAGTGAGCCACAGAGTACTATTAAATCCAGAAATAGAGAAAAACTTAGGTATTTTAAATGTATTCTCCCAAAGAGACACAAAATATACATAAGGTAGGGCCAAACAGCCATGAAGGGAGAAACGATGTGACAGCAGGCCACCAGGATGAGAGGAACACGGAGCTTTGTGAGCTGAGAGAGGACGGCGAGGCGGGAAAAGGTCAGGAGCAGAACTTAAACCAGAGTGTGAAGAATCAATGTGACAAAAACATCAAAGCAGCACTTTGATTAAACTTGAAAGGTTTCCTCCAGAATGTGGAGAAAAAGAAGGGTATAATTATAAAATAAAAGCATATACAAAAAAGATAACAGAGCTCACACTTCTTCAAGGATAAAATCTGAAAAATTAGATCAGAAGCAATAGTCAAAGTGACAACTGACAAAGCTAACAAACCTAACAAAGAACCCCCCAAAAAAGCAGATCAAAAGATCTCACTATTTCCTAGGAAAAAATAATTAAATGGCACCTATTCTATAAAAATGATATCCATATGATTAACAAATTAGAAGTCCTCAAGCAGAAAAAGCAGACAAAGCAGACTAGCAACAAAGGAACAAGGTCAGGCAGGCACCGACTCCTCTACTCTGATATTAATGCTCAGATAGAATAGACCAATGTTGACAGAACATCAAGAGGAAAACTTTTGACCTAAGAACGTGGCCAGATACATTGATTTTCTTGTGTGAAAGAAGCAAAGATATACCCTTATACAAGATTTCAGAAAACAGATGATTCCAATAACCTTAAAAAAAGGTATTAAGATATTAAGACCAGAGTCAAAAGTAAGAGTTTAGAAATAAATCAGATTGTTTTTAAAAAGAAAAAATAAGCACTGGAACCAGCTAGACAAAGAACCATATCTTAAAAATTATATGTAGAGACATGGAGCTGAATACAAATATTGAATTATTCTTGAAATAGAAAACTACTTTTGAAATATTATACATATAATATGAAAATAATAATTTAATGATGAATTTAGTATACTAACAGAAGCTGGGGGGGAAAGGGTAAATATAAAGGAATTAAAAGAGTATGTAATTATAAGCCTTACAGGGCCTTAAAGTTATTATTAATAGATAATAAAAGAGCATATCATCTTGCCAAATCTCTGAAGGAGATAAAAGCAAATAGCTAAACCAGACATCAAGGAAAATAGCATAGAACTATAAAAGACAGTTGACTGCAATAAAGTTAAATGTATATTAGGAAAAAATAATTTAAAACAAGGCCTCTCAGTTACACTACAAAGCACCTATAACCTTAATTGAAGAAACACACCCCAAATCAAAAACACAGAATAAGTAAAGGGAAAGACAAAGAAAAGGAAAAAAGAGAGGAATATTAATTTTAAACACAGTAAAATTCAATGCAAAAGGCATTTCATGACATTAAAAGGGTAATTTTATGTTGATGAAAGTTAAACATGCAATGAAGGTGTGATCTGTGAACTGCAGGGCACCAACTAATGTAACATCAAAATATAAGCAGTGAAATCTATTTATAAACAAGGAAATCTCACAGGAATACAATTTCCTTGAAGAACTAGCAACTCAAGCTTTAACGAAGAAAAATACAGACACTAGGATTTTGAATATTTACATCATGTTTTGTTTCATATCATATTTTTAAGATTAGAAATATTAACTTTCACAATTAGAAACAAAAATACATCAATGAAACAGGATTCTGTATTAAAAACAGTAGAGATTGGACATGTCATATTCTCTTATCCAGCGTAAGAAAAATTAATGTTAATATCAAGTTTAAGGTGAAAGGATTAGCCAAAAAACATACGTGCATGGCCCATGGACGAGGACAACAGTATGGGGGTTGCCTGAGGTGACAGAGGCTGGGTGGAGGGGGGCAAAGGGGAAAAAATGGGACAACTGGAATAGCATAAACAATAAAATGTAATTTAAAATTTTTTTTAAAATATGAAGTTTAAAACTACAACACTCCCCTATTCCCCAAAACTGTAACTCTTAAAACTTCTTCTAAAAAATCTGGTTTAAAACGGAAATCAAATGTATATTCACATGGATTCTAGAATTTAATCTAAGGCAATAATCAATAATCAATAATGTGCGCAGTCATATGGGCAAAAGAATTCCCATTGCAACATTATGCTGGGAGAAACATAAATGTACATTAAGGGATAATTAAACACATGTGACAGCATCATCAAATAAGACATGAGCATAACAAGTTGACTTTTTTTTAATTAGAAGGAACTCCTTCAAAACATTAATAGCAATATTCTCTAGGTGGTAAAGTTTTGGATAATCTTAAGGTTCTCCTTAAACCTTGTATCTTCTATGAATCCTATTACATTTTTTTAAAAGTTACTGACTACTTTAAAATCTAAACATACCCTATGTACTTCCAGCAATTTCCATTTTCCACGACCAACTCAGTATAAACCAATATATTCTATATTACAAAATTTCACTTTTCAGTGGGCCCCAACTCCCTAAGCTACATTAACTACATATGAGTATCTAACTACATATTATTAATCACCTATTAACTACATATGAGTGTCTAAGGGCCCAGCTTGGTGATAGCTGCTATAGGGGATACAAAAGAATTGTGTGATTATTGTCCTTAAAGAAACTAAAGTTTATTTTAGTAATTAAAAAAAAAAACAAAAAAGGTTATACATAAACCAGTATTACACAGAATAAGAAAAATAGATCATTAACACCATGTGCAGAAGTTAGGACACAGTGGTCAGGAAGACCTCCCACAAGGAGAAACGCGGACTGATGCAGAGAAGAAAAAACTAAAAGAAGGGAGACTGTTATCATAAGTGAAGGACCAGAGGCAGGAAAACCCACACGGAGGGGGAAGAGCACAGCAGGCTCCGCACGCCCCGCAGGCCCTCTGGCTGTAAGGCTGAGAGGGGGACTAACTGTAAGGCAGGGCACAGCCAGCAGGACACAGATGGAGAACCGAGTGCATCTGAAGAGCTTGGGCTTAGTCCAGTAAATAAAAACGAGGCAAGTCCTAAAGTGCATGTGGGCTGATGAAAGTGGTGTTTTACAAGACTGATGTAGTAAATGTGTTCAGAGTAAATTGTAAGTGAAAGTACCTGGAGAGACAAACTAGTGCAATTTGCACCCAAGTGGTTCCAGTGTGACAGGAACTGCAGGAGTGACCAAACAACACTCGCGGGGGACCAAAGGTAAGAGGAGTCAAGGTGCCCACGGTCAGAGCATGCACCATTAGTGCGGCAAGAAGGGCAACCTTTTGCATGTAGATTTTGAGGACGGTTTTAGCCACACTGGTCTGGGAGACACGAAATCTCTGGATGGTGATATCCACAATGACGGTCACTCAGAGTAAGTGTGACTGGGACAGTCTTGGTTGATTGCCCCTGTAGTTCTTCCATATTCTCAAAAGTGGCCACAAATGTTATGATTGTTCAGCCTCTGTAGGCAACTGGAAATATGGAGGTAGAAAGTGAGGGATAAAGACATTAACCTAGGGAGAATAGGTCTATATACAGCATTTTATAGCAAAAGATTGTACAATTACTAACTTAGAATCAATAAAGGGGAAAAGACTGAATGTATAAGCACTCAGTTGGGAAAAAGGAGACAATACAAGGGCTGGACCAGGAGAGCAGCATGCCATGGAAAAGGGAATGTTCACCTAAATGAAAGGGCTAGCCACATGAAAACGGGAACAACATCAACATCTGAATAATGAGCGAAGACTCTCAGACTAGACTAGAAAGTATTGTCGCGTTTCCTTCAAAAGCAGGACTTTTGTTGCAGATGGTTAAGGACGAAGTGGTGGGGTAGACATTAGCACGGTGAGTGGAGATCACTCCACCTGAGTTTATCGTAAAACGAGGGGAGAGAAAGGTCATGGGGTAACTGAGGGAACAGTTGCAGGGATTTAGCCAGAAACAACCCATAACAACACTTACAGCAAATCTCTAAGAAATTAGCAAATTAAATCACATCCAAACTGCTTGATGCTATTCCAGATCCCACAAAAGAAAGAAATCAAGTCTCCAAGGAAAGTAAAGTTCAAGCACACATAGAGCATAGAGCTGGTGTCATTAAAGAGAGTGTCAACTATGAGAAGAAAATGTAATGTGCCTTTAATGCCCAATGTGGATTATATTTTCGTGAGATGTACAACTATGGACACAGTTCAATTTTAACTGAATCATTTCCTAGCAGTTGAAAGAGGAGTTTATATGCAACCTTCCTCTCTCTTCTTTTCCCTTTGTGCTCTCATCCCAACCCCCAGTAAGCCCCCTAATTCTGCCCACCAACCAATATATAAAATGCATTTCACCTGCCTGGGCCTGAGTTCTTTTGCTCTGAATTATCCTTTCACTTCACAAATATTTACTAAGCCCCTGCTGTGCACAAGGCATTGGTTCTGGGCACTGCAGATACAGCAGAGAACAAAATCAACAGACAAAAATCCAAGCCTCGTAGAATTATACACTGGTGAAGGCGACAGACAGTAAAATCAACACATAAAACATATAGTAAGTCAATGGTGTTAAATGCTACAGTGGGGAAAAGGAGGAAATGAGGAGGGCATGAGGCAAACACAGGACGTTCAGGGAAGGCCTGGCCGAGACGCTTTGCCGGAGCAGACCTGAGGGAGGCGAGGGGCAACCCTTACAGCCCTCTGGGGGAAGAACGCTGCAGGCAGAAGGAGCGGCCTATGGCAAGAGCATGCCTGACATGTCTGAGGAACGGCAAAGAACTCCAAGGACCCGGCGCCAAGGGAGCAAGGGGGAGAGAAGACAAGGGGACAGACTGTGAAGGCCTTGCAACCATTGGCAGCGCACTGGCTTTTACTCGGGGGGATGGTAGGAAGCCACTGGAGGGTTTGGAACACAGGGTTAGATGCCCTACCAAGCTCACGTAGGCCGATGCTTCAAGAACAGACTTTAGGGGTAAAAGCACAGGGAAGGGAAACCAATTACAAACTATCGAAATACGGGCTTTAGGCAAGGATGACAGCAGTGACAGAAGTGAGAAGTGGCTGGCTTTTATACATATTTTCAAGATAGAGCCAAAAGGTTTGCTGCAGAATTGGATGTGGAGTATGAGAAAGACATACGTAAACCTTCCAAGACTTTTGGCCCCAGGGTCTGGCTGGAATGATGGGGACATCATTAAACAGGAGGATCAGCTTATAGGGGGGCCCAGACAGGGGAGGGCCAAGATCCGTTTTGGACATGCAACATCTGAGAACTTTCTAGACACCCATGTGGAGATATTACGTGGGCAATGAGGTACACAAGTCTGGGTTCTGGGAGGTTGTGGATAAAAAATACCGACTTGAACCATCATGGGTCATGGCTTGGTAAGTTGTTAAAATGTGTGTTTAGCACTAAAACAATGCTTAGCAGTGGCCCTATTCTCGAGGATCTTACTGTCTGGGAAGGCAAAGCACAAAGGCGACACACACACAAGATCCAAGAACTTACTGGAACACTGAAATGACTCTTTCCCCAGGAGTGTTTTGTCACAAACCAAACACTGTAGAACCCCAGAGACTGTTCCAGGGACAAACTGATGTCGACTCAGTTTCTCCTTGTCTTTGGCATCCTTGCTTTTTGTCTTCAGAAGGATCCGCAGCAGAAAAATGGAGAGAAACAAGAAGAGAGAAATGCTGAGAGCCAACCATCATAAAGAAATCACACAAAGTCTCTACATTCCCTGTCAGAACATAAGGACCGCACACCAAGGGGCAAGACAATGCCAGAATGTACTATGACTCAGATTTAGTTGTCCTAGTGTTGCTGATGCTTAGGCCAGTGATTTTCAACCAGTGTGCTGCAAGAATTTTTAAAACATACAAAACCTGACTATTTAGTGAGGGTCTCTGACCTGTTTTCCCTTAGGCTGTCAAATTAAAAAATGGCAACAGCCAACACAATAGCCGTCCATTCTGAATGAATCAAAATTATACCTATTTTTTGCCAGATCGGCAAAAAAAAAAGTTTTTTGGTGTGCCGCAGACTTTTAGTAACTAGTTATGTGTGCCATGAGATGAAAAAGTTGAAAATTGCTGAGTTAGACAATACTCCATAGAAAACACAGATTTTCAAATACGTATGTATAAAATCTGAGGTAAATGGTTTTAAAAGAGGAGGGGGAGCTACACTAATTGCTGAGGAACTGAGCCCACCCACATTTTATGGACAACAGGCACGAAACCTTAACTACCTTAGATTTATTCCGAGGACTTGTCATCCTGTTCATGATGAAGCTGAAAGTTCGGCTCACTTTGTACTTTTCGGAATCCGATTTGGCAGGAATGATGTATTTATCCCATTCTTCTTCTGGAATTCTACAAGAAAAGAATCTGTTATCATGGTTTCTAGGACTTAAAGAGGGAGCAAAATGCAGCATATTCAAGAATACATACGGTTTTACATGTATATTTATACATACATTTTTATACATATACATTTACACACATTTTTCAGGTATTAATGGTTATTCTAAAGATAGAAACTATTAAAAATATATCTTATAGATGGCTAGGTAGTTAGATAAAGCAACTATCTCACAATTTTAACAATTACAGAATATAAGCGGTAGAGGTAGGTATTCAGTATATAATTTTTTTCAACTTTTCCATATACTTTAAAATGTTTCATAATGAAATATTGGAGAAGTACAGGATAACTCAGACTTATCATTTTATTCTGAAAACATTCATGTCCCTGTTTATTATACTAACAGAATTTTCCTCGGGCACAGAGAAGCCAGATAACCAACAATATAACACTGGGTTTTATTGGTTCCTGGAACGCAGAGACAGTAGTCAGCAGACACACATTCCCTTGGTCAATGCGGCCTGAGAGACAGGCGGCCTGCCTCCTGGCTCAGTCTCTCCCCTTCAGTCAGGCTCTTTGCAACCCGAGACTCTTTAGACTGTGAAGGAGAGAGGCTGTGGATACTCCCCTCAAATAAGAGGCAAGATAAAGGCAATTGTACCCAATCCCTGAACACACTGAACATTATTTATTTTCCTCTAATCCATTTAATAATTTTTTAAGAAAAAAAGTAACTCCTGGCTATGAGAAGCTGTATTTCCCCTAGAACTTCCTCTGAGAGTCATATTTCTAATAGTATAATAGAAAAAGAGGAAATATATTAAATATCAACCTAAGTATCCATATGTATGTCAAACCAGATAATAATTCTGTAAACTACTTCCAAAATAAACATTTTATAATAGAAGTCTCTCCTACCTGCTCCCCACACAAAAAAAAAACAAACAAAAAAAACAACTTCTCATTTGTCGGAATTACTGGCTAACACATTCATCTCTGGGTAATACTTTTCAAAAGCAATCATATTATTTATATGCACCAAAATATATATTATTACTTTGGTGAAAATGAATTCAACTTTCTAGGGCTGTAGTTTGTCTCATCTGATCAATGACAGGCTTAGACTAAATTATTTGTGAGGGTTCTTCTCACACTTAAATATAATATGTATTTACCTGGTACATATTAAACAAAACTTTAAGTTATTTAACCTCTATACTAGATAATCGAGAGTTCAGACCTATAAATGCATCTAGGAAGAAGAATAATAAATGGCTCGAGAGCTGCCTCGCGGTCATGCAGATCTGAGGGCGTGGCCCAGACAGTGCGCGGCCTGCTTTCCGAATCCTGCACACTAAGTCAAGTCGGGTTTGCTACTTAGAGAAAACAGATAAAAAAGTCAGGAGGAAAGATGGTGAACAGAAGTGAATGTATCCTACAACTACTCAGAGCAATACAAAGGAACTCAGACCCTCTTATTTTCTTTCTGTTTCCATAGCCACCTCCTTAGATAACAGACCGATTAATACAGTCTATAAATTTTCATGCCTCTTATGTCTTAGGCATCCTAAGTTTGAAAACTCATGGCATAATATTCAGCAGACTCACTTTGAGAGTGGGGGAAAAACACATCTGAGTCACAAAAGGTACCATTCAATGTCTAGGGGAACAGCTGCAGGGTGAGGAGAGTAAATCTCAGAATGAAAGAATGGTCAGGTCACTGTGCATTCGAGGTCAAGAGGTCCTCTCCCCTACTTTCCAGCAGGAATGCAACTAAACTCTCTCAAATAAAAGAAAATTATTTACCCAACTCTACCCCAAATCCCCGATGAAACAGGGGACAATACCAAGAACAATGTTTCAGTTTTGATTTAAAATGTATACACACCACAATTTACTATGTATTCTATATACTTCTACAAAATTACATAAAATTATAGCACTAACTTTTAAGTTCAATGGCTGATAATGTCTGAGACATGATCAACAAAATAATACTGAAACATTAGATATTAAATCAGAATAACCATCCAACCTTGTATAAATGTGAATATCATAGACATGATCCACTGTCATATTGGGAGAATGGGAAACAGTGTATCCTTTGGGCAAAGGTAGGTTGGTTGATCCATGTTGCAAATATAATTTAACTATGTGGTATTAACCTATATAACAAGTAGGTACTCTAGTGAAGAACTGACAAGGGAAAAAATCCTCAACTGATTACATAACAGAATTTAAATAGCTTTTCAGTTTATAAGAATTTGGAAAAAAATAATTTAAACTCTTTTCAATATTCCAGAATGAGAATGCCTAAGCTCTATTACCAATTTGATGACCAATGGAATCACCCACAGTAAAGTTTTAAAAGTCCTGTTCTTCAGAAACTCTCTTGACATTGCCTTTTTAATAGGCAAAATGATATTTAAAATAACTTAAGAATATGTACCCTCAATACCTTAATCCTTAATTTATTATATCTATAACCTATTTTTTTTTTAAAGACTGGGCATCTAAACGTTAAAAAAAGAAATTCCCACTATCCAAATTGAAAATTGGCATGTGAGACTTCTTTGAAGACTCAGATCCTCAAAATATTCTTTAACAGAAGATAACAGATGCAGTAAATTTAAGACAGATGGCAGCAATAAAATAACTGAGCTGTGCCATGCAATATTTAAGAAGGTGGGATAGGTAGACTGTCTGCTTTGCAGAAATGGGCCTGCAAGGTCTGGAGTGAGCTCCCCTTTCACCTGGCTGCTTTCCTTTCTGGAAACTAAGTGATTAATATAAATAATAATCCCAATGTAGATAGACCCTCAAGTCAATACACACAACATGACCAAAGCAAGGCATAGGCATGCCCAGGGCTCTTCCTGGCATAGCCAACAAGGTCTCACAACTAGAACAGGTGAGGTGGAAGATCTCCTCTACCAGATACACCAGGGGACATGACTGAGAAGGTCAGATGCTTTCAGGATGACATTGGTCCTCCTAGTCTTACAACCTTCAGCTAATGGAAAATAAATATTTTTGTATTAAAAAAAAATCTTGACAGTCTATGACTTCTCCAATTGTGAGAAAGGTGGCAGAGAGAAGATGCTAATCAAAATGATGACTGGGATAAGGCACAAACTCCAGAACTAGTCAGTAAATGGCTTAAATGAAGTCATAAATGTAAGCAGCTCAAAACAGAGCAAACCACATGAAACACCCAGTAATGGCCAGTTACTCCTGCCCGGTCAGCTGCCATCATTGTCACGGTCACAATGTCACCGGCATCATCCTATTCTAAAAGGAAATTCTTAGTCTTACTCTGGTTTTTGCATTTCAAAGTTTTTATTCTGGCCTCAAAATAGAAGAATAAACAGAAGGAGGCTTTTTCTTGTTAATACTTTTTTTTTCAAGAAATAGAAGATATTTAATTTATAAAATAAGAATCCAACATTATCAAAAGGAATAGGCAGAGAACAGGAAACCAGTACTTAAAGGTTAAAAATATGCTTATGAAATGAAATTGTTAACTTTTTAACAAAATCTTCTTGAATTTAAAAAACAAAAACCACAGACATGGAAAATATGGCCAACATTCTTTTACATAGCCAATATTCATATGACCTATTTATTGATTTTTAATTAAATTTATTGGGGTTACATTGTTTAATAAGAATATATACGTTTCAGTGTAGATTTCTATGATATATGATCTGTATATTGCCTTGTGTGCTCACCACCCAAAGTCAAATCATCTTTTGTCACCATATATTATCTTATTACTATTTTTATTCCAAGATTTAAAGCATAACAATCCACCTTGATCTATATATTAAAAGGTTTTGGAGTTTTGGTATTAATATCACCAAAATTAAAACCATTTTTCTCTTTTTTACATGGCCTCTTAAAGCCCAGCATTTCTGCCATTTCTGACATAACCCCAAGGCTATTTCACAGTGTGACTCTGGAGTGGTTGGTTAGTGAAGACCAAGAGACCTAACCCAGCAGTCTCGCTTGCTCTCCAGTCAGCTTCCCAAACATTACTCCAGTGACAGCTTTACCTTCCTGGGAAATGACATGCTTAGACATAAAGCTTTCAAATCTGCACATCAATCAGAAAACTGATAATGCTTAAGCACATTTTGCATCATTTACTCTTTGTTTCAAACTTAACCCTTCTAAACAATACTCCATACAGACAGGTAACAGATGTTTAAGCATTTTGATAACTGACTACTCAGTGGCCTGCTGACATAGTAAAGCTCCTTGCCATTTGCAGACAGACCTAGCCTGACCCCGATGCCCTTCTAAAGCAGGTGGTCCCCACGCTGCTCCCCTTGGTCCTGCATGTTGGGAGTGTTTGGCTTTGACACTAACCCAGAACAGAATATTCTGTCCCCAGCCCAGAGGCCTCTTCTTCTGGGGACTGAGAGGAGCAGCCGGCCAACCTATGCTGATGTTGATTACAAAGGAAGGAAAGGATTCAGCAGGTTCATTACATAGAAACCTCACAAACTATTAAACAAATATCCCAAGTGATTTGCACACATTTCCAAAGATGGACCAAGCAGGAAATTTGGAACAGTTAAAATACCTTTTTTCTCCTGGTGACTCCGGTAAACTGTAAGCTCTTTGCTGCTCTACAAGACACAGAACAATAAAATGAAAACAAAGGCAGACAAACTAGCAGCCATGTTGTTAGTCTGAAATGCACATGCTCAATCATATTTTTTCATTATATACACCACCCATTTTGAAAAAATACATCACTTTATATAAGTAGGGCATTGCTTTAGAAATCTTTATTACTCTCCCTAGTTTGGAGAGAATGGAGAAGAGGCCAAAACACAACAACATTTAATGGTTTTATGAACTAAGTTAGCATAAGCAAGGGACAGCAAATATTTTCAGAAGTACAGAAAATTAGTTCTGTCTTTTAGGATATTTCTCACCAGAGCCTCATACCGTATTCCTAACACTAATTCCCCTACATAGAGAATCCATAAATATCTTAGCTGCTTTTTAAGCAAAGCTCAAAAGAAAAGTCTTGAAATCCAGCCTAAGGCAGCATCTATTTTCATACAGCAGCAATGCCTGAATAAAACCCTAGCAGCAGCCGGTTCAGAGATGTGCTTTGTGACTCATGGGAAAGGGAGGGCCACCTGTCCCATTGGACTTCCAGGAAGCAGAAGGGGCAGGCTCAAGCAGGCAGCTTAGCGCTGTCTTGTTTCAGGAAGGAACTGGGGTACTTACTACAGGATGGAGCAGAGACACTGATTTAGACAATGAGGGAGGCTGAAGGAGGGAACAGCCGCTGTGGAGCACGCCATCCACAGAGCAGGGACAAATCCTTTACCATTACAATCCAGAAGCGTGAAGAGGCAAAACTAAGTTGCAGAGGAAGATGGGACAGATATATAAGGGGGAAAACTAATAAATACATATCCCCTGAAATGTGTAAACATCAATGTTGAACCTAATACTATCTTATAGGTAACAGAAAATCTAATTTGAAGAATTTGAAGGCTTTGTTTTATTGCTATTACGTGTTCCACAAGTGAAGTCATGGGCAGAAGCAGTATCCTTATTGTAAATAGGCTGAGGTTCAAGAGGTACCACGAGAACAAAGCCTCTTGTCCAAAATAATCAAGCTAGTAAGGTAATAGAGCCAGGCTCAGGCAATGGGACAATCTAATAGAATTCCATCCATCAGTGTGCAATAATTTTCAAAAGTACATCAACTTCACTCCCCAGGTTCTTAAATACAGAACATTTTGTCCATCTTGGTGAGGTTATAATTACCACCTCAATATCAACCATGTCTCTTTCTCTCTAAACCCATGATGTACCAAAGGAAAATATATAGAGAGTTGGATTTTGTTTTATATATATAAGCACTAAATAATAAAGTTGCCACCATTGTACTGTTGGCTCCAAAAAAAAAGAAAACCCAAAAAGAATAAGACATGACAGTAAGTAACCCTTTGGAAGTGACAAGTAAGAAAGGTCACAAATAAGAATAAAAAGGACAGAAAGACCATCCTATCTTTATATATCTGCATTGCAGCTCATATACTGGAGTTTTTCACTGGGGCAAAAGGAGACTTGGAGTCTATACAAATAGAGAAAATGTTTAGGACCATCCAAAACTCATTGAGAGAGGATTTCCAACACCATGAATATCAATTTACCTCTTATTAATCTACACAAACTGAACAATGAAACATTAGAATACATCTTTGAACTAGTCAAGCTTTCATACCTGTGCTTTGACCGCACATAGTTAAAATTATTCCTTCTTTCTTAAAAGTTAATTTATTCTTCATAGTCCAATCGTTTTGACTATGATGAATGGTTTCAATCCAAACATTTACAACTATACAGATATATCTGTTGGAACCTGTACATTTAGCATGTAACCTCAATCTAAATCACCTGTTTGTAATTCTTACTTTTTGGAGAATAACAAACTTCATCCAAATGGCACTGTTTTAAAATATACTGTCTAGCCCTGGCGAGGTTGCTCAGTTGGTTAGAGCATTGTCTCAGTCCACCAAGGCTGCAGGTTCAGTACCCAGTCAGGGCACAGACAAGAATCAACCAATGATGTATAAATAAGTGGGAAAACAAATCAATGTCTCTCTCTCTCTCTCTCTCTCTCAAGTCAATAAATAAAAACTTTAAAAAGTAATTTAAAATATACTGTCTAAAGAAAAGCTTTTATTCATAGAAAAAACAAAGGATGTCAGTTTTTATTTTTTCTAGTTCAAATGCATAGAGTTAAGGATTGTATGTTAGGCAAAGATACCCTTCCTTATTCATTAAAGAATTCATAAGTGAGGGCTCTTTTCCCTTATAAACAATCAACTTCCTCTTAGTCATCTGCTCAACAATTTCAAATTTCAGAACTGTCTGACTTGAAAAATCAGAGATATTACAAATTTAAAGGCAAGTTCACCATTTTGCACATTTCACAGGAGACTTAAAAGTGTTTTCCAAATAGTTACAATATACAGTTAATTCATTGTATAGGACTGTGAGTGAAAAGGTGTCCAGCGGCCATTAAAAGGACTCCCAACCTCAAATAAGATTAGGGAGCGCTGGGGATCTGAGGAATACTTACAATATGAAAAAAAAAATCCAGGGAAAATTTAATCCATCTTCTTTTCCTGTCCTCTAAAAGGTTTCTGTATCCTTTCTTTCTCTAGTCCTGTTCTCTATTTTCCCATTCCAAAAATTAAGATTGACACATATGTAGTCTTGTTTTCTCCTCTTCCAAAAGACTTCGCAGATAGGGCACAGGGTGGGGCAGGGAGAGGGGCACACCAGATAGCACTCATTTTTTATTTAATGTATCTGGACTACAATATTTGTTCAACAAATATTTATTGAGTATCTCCCATACACAAGTCACGGTTTAGGATGGGAGCTCCAAGCACAAAGGTTATACTTTCAATGTTGTTCCACATAGCATAAAAATGCAAAGTAACAAGGTGATAAAGCATGAATTTTAAAAAGAAAAGAACAAGTGAAAAATAATCCTATTTTAAATATTCTACACTGAGAAATTGAGAACACCTAAGCACATCTCATGTTTTCTGAGTCTTTTAAGACTCTTAAGGATGATAGACCAAAAAAATTACCTAATCCATTGACAAAAGTTTTATTATAATGCTGTATATTACAGAGTAGCACAAATACTTCCAACTATGCCTTGAAATGCAATGATCACATAATATAGTATGTGAAGAAAGTATGAAATAATTACATTTCAAAGTGAAGTTGAAAATGGGGGCAGTGGCCGAGGGGGGCTCCCAGGGCAGCTCTGCGTTGCCCATAATTGTTCCAGCTCTTGATCTGAATTTTCACTTTTAAAAATTCATCAAACTATGTGCTCATAATCTGCACCCCTTTCTGTAGGTCTACTATATTTAAGTTAAAATTTTATTGCATAAGTTTACATTTCTGAATGCCTGCATTGCCACAAAAAGTGTTCATTTTTTTATTCATGTTTCAGATAGTTCTCTTATTTCAACTTTCTTAAACCCGTTGATAAATAAAGAAAATCTAGTTCGCAGGGGTCTGCCTGTGAGGAGTTAGATTATTTTGGCAATTTACATATAGAAGAAAAGTAATGTTTATACTTTATTTAAATAAAATCCTCTAAAACCCTCACAATAACTAGCCTAGAATAAACTCTAGCTTACGCCTTCCTTGAGGAAAACATTGTATTCAAAGAATAAAGCAACAGAGATGGGTGTACAAATTTGTAATTTCATCAAAACCAAATCTTGTGTGATATCTAAGAGAAAAAGATTTTGCTAAGCTTAGAAAAAATCAATCGTGAAAATAAAACTGAAAACTCTTGCCTGCTGCTCTTGTGTATTTTGCATACTTTTACTAAATGAAACAGAATGCCTTCAGAGACCAATGGTAAATAATACTCACCTTCGCTTGAATTGCACACTGTAAAATCACGCACCAACCGAGTTCTTCCTAAAGAAATTTTGGGTGATGAGCAGGAATAAGAACGTGAGCGAACTCCAGAAAGCAAGGATTCCTAAAGGAGATCAGAATAATGTGTTTTTTAAAAATGTTACATAAGACTTGAAAGTATACATTCACCGTGAATGTTACTAAATCAGCATCTTTGTAAAAGTATTCAACCTGAACATTTCTGATATAATCTCGTTGTTTCTCTTTGCTTCTCACAACTTAAAATTTTATTGTCTCTTCAATGCTTTTGGGACTAGTTCCTATATATACTTTAGGATGCAATTATGACATTCCAACCAAGTTCGTTAAAATTGAACAATTAAGTCAAAAGAGTTTTTCTCTGTATATTTTACAATGAGTTTGGCTTGTTTTCATCTGAGCTGTCAGTTATTTTTATTTTACACTGTAGCATTCAAGCAAAATTCCGTACTAATATATATTTCTATGCTTAATGATTATTAAAAGTTAGAGGGATAGTCATTTGTAATGATGAGTTTTTAAAATTTCTAAACAGCTGTTTAAGTTTACAATGCTCGCTGCAGCCTCTAGGGAAGTACACATCAGGACTATACAGATCTTCCTAGGCTGTGCTCATCTTTTAACAGACTTTCCATCCAGCCCTTCCTGGGATGATGTTTGAATATCACTGATTTATGTACCTTCGTCCTTTTTAAATGACCTGCCATTTTTGTTCCTGTTTTTCCAATTACATACTATTTTTGTTATAATATTTGCAGCATATATGAACATGCAAGATGGCAAGATAATTAAAGCATGGTTTTCTTACACAATCTAGAAAATTTAAATGAATATGCAATAGAACACTATTAAAGCCACTTACGGTACCCAACTGCCATCCACTAGACAGAGGCCTAGTGGCCTGAGGATTCATCCCACCCATCCATTTGTAAGATAGCACTGAAAGTTAGGGCTAAAATAAAGTAATGCAAAATTTATTACTAAAATTAAGCCATCAGCAACTGTCCTTCACAGTGCTGGTCTCTTCAGTTCCCCCTAAGTAAAAACACATGCCTTCCCAAAGTTGACTGGTACAAAGAGCCTGGAGGAAAGTTGAAAACAGATGCCTGACCCTGCTTCAAAGGGCCCTGGGCTATGGCTGCCCTGACGGACTTATTAGGGAGATCCCTCTGGGTCTGCATATCAGGAAGGCCAGCCCGCACTACCCTATAACCCTAACAGTGAGCTGGCCACAAAGGGCCCTAGCCAAATGCCATCCTCTGCACTGAAATCATATATGGCAATAATTTTGTACAAAAATGAGACTTCGAAAGTCATCCAGAACCCTCAGGTAAAAAGTTACACAGGACTACAAAAGCAAGGCAAGGTATATTTTAAAGGACAGATCCTTCTCAAAAGTGGGCAACACTGAACTGCTTCACAGAGGTTGGACTATTTTTCATCCCAAGTAATGATGAGTGTTTCATAACTGCATCCAAAATGCAAAGCTAAGAAGGATCAACGTCAACAAACATATTATCCAGAAACATCCCAGGATCTTCAGGTTCAAAAGACTGTGACAGTTCCACAGGCTTCCAAGCTGAGGGAAAGGAAGGATTCAGGACCTGTGGTTAGAAGGCCTGGATCTGAGTTCTGACTATTCACCAAGCTGGAGTAACAGGGAAGACATCTCATCTCTGCAGAACCTCATCGCTCAAAAATCAACATAAAAGCACTACTTATGTCCTAGGTGAGTTATGATAAAATTATATATGTTGTACACACAAAAAACATGTTTTGGGTATTGCAGATTATACTACAAAATCCAAGCACTATCATAACAGCCATGTGTTCATGGTAAGAGCTGTTTGGGCATAGCACACATTATGTTATAGTAATAAACTCAATTTAAGAAGAAAAAAGGAGACAGTAATACAAATCAAAAAGGAAGAAAACATATCCAAATACAAAAGGGCTTTCTCTGCAAAACTGGAAGGGTTTAATCTTTAAAACACACACACACACACACACAGCAAAATGACGTCACATTTGAGAGTGCCAGTGAGAGGAAATCTGTCTCCTATGGAAAAACTGACAAAGTTTATGGTATTCAAGATTAGTTCATGCAGCCAGGAAGGCTAAACAAACATCACCTCTGCCTTACTAATATGATTTACCTTAGCACCCAGGCCAAATAAAATTTTATGTGAGCAAAACAAGTTTGATCATTACACCCACTGACTACTACCAGTTTTTCTCCTTTTGCTTAAGGGATGATGGGAGAAATTATTGTGTAAAATAGTAAAATTTTCCAAGTATGTAAAAGATTATACATACTGGTAGTGAATTAATGAAAACAAATCAGCCCTTGTAAGGAAGGAATATACAAATTAGAGTAGGCAAGAATCAAAAGACAGACTCTATCAGTCAGCTCATGGGTCCCCAAAAGAAAAAAAAGTTTATACACGTGAATAAAACATTATTTGTCTTTCAGATATGGATAGATTTAGACGACGCATTTTCCCCACTTAGAATACACCACATCAATACCAATAAGAATACCTTTGACTGCAGGTTACTTGATAGAGAAAGTGACTCAGTCCTGGCAATATTAAAATCTGGGTCAGTGTTGGTCTCAAAAGAATCTAATTCATCCCCACTAGGAACCCCAGTTCCTGAGAGACTCTGAGACGCTGGCGTATAGCACGTGTGTGACTGCTCCGAAGGCCCGTCCCCTTCACTGTCGGCATCCAGGGCATCAAGGCTGGAGCTGAAGCACAAAGTGAGCGAAGAAGTAAATAATCCAGGAAGAAAACAGAGTCATTGGTTTCCATTCCTCTGAATTCAAATCCTTCATTAGTGTGAGGTATAATGGGTACTCATTTAATTTCTAATGCAATTTATATTTAAGTAGTTTGTACTGGTTTTTCTTCCCCTAAGTATCCTCTTTTTCAACACAATTGTGTTTCCCCAAGTGAACATTTCTACCCTAGCAAAAGCCATTTCAGGCGCCCTAAGAAACAGAGGCCGGTTCGAGTGAGTATTATCCAATTTCTGTTTTGTAAATGTAATTATTACAAGCCCTAAGTAGTTACCCTTCAAATATTAAAAACACAGACAAAATAGAGCCACGGAGCTGTCGGGGAGGGGTGTCTGCATGTGACAACAGGCAGTGTGACACTCTCTCTGTTTCCACTGGGCCAGGAAGCGCAGGAGGGCAGCGGCGCAGACAAGGGGACATGCAGAGGTCTCGCCCCAGAGTTGGTGTCACGACACAGGCCAGCCAGGAATCAGGCGAGGTCCCAAGTATGTCATATTAGATTATAATTTTCAGAAAATTTAAAAAAATCATCCCATGAGAAGTCCATCTCAGAAGCAGGTAGTAATTCTGCTTGACCACTAATGCTTTTCTTTCCTTATTTAACTGTGATAACCATAAAATTTAAAGGAAAGAATTTGACCTTCCACATTCCTGGCTCATTCCTTAATATTTACATTTTAAACCACTCACACTTTGAGGCCAACAGCTTTCATAGGCATGTTAATTGCACAGTGAATTTTTAAATTAAGTTTATTGGGGTAAAATTGGTTAATAACATCATATAAATTTCAGGTGTCCAACTTTATAATATATCTTTATACTCTATTGCATGCTCACAGCCAAAGTCTAGTCTCCTTCTGTCACCGTATATTTTGACCCCTTTACCCTCTTTGTCCTCCCCCAACTCCCTTCCCCCTCCAGTAACTACTATTCTGTTGTCTATATATAAAACAAAAAGCAACGAATGAACAAACAATGCATTTTTAACTGTCTTTTTCTTTGGTTGTTAGAGTTCTGAAGTTAAAATTTAAAAAAAAATAATGAAACCACCTTGATTATGAAATGTAGAGAACCCAAAAAATAAAACTTCAGAAGGGAAGGGGCAAGTCAAGGAACACAGAGCAAGGACTCATGGACAAACCCAAAGGGGAAGGGTTGAGGGAGGGAGGGGGCAAGGGAAAGCGGTGGGGGGAAGGCAGAGACAAATGTATTTGAAAAAATAAATACATAAATTTTTTAAAAAACCCCAACAAACTCTAAATGATGCATTTGGATTATTTTTCTTGAAAAAAACCATAGGCTATTTGATGGTCACTGAAGGCCATGTTAGTAAATGACAGGACACTTAGTCCTTATATGTGTCTCTAATCCAAACACTTAGATTAGCCTGTGATCCTCAGATTTCTCCACAGCAAACCTGTCAGGAAGGAAAGACCAGGACTGGCACCACCGAGGTCTCTGAAGTGCAGTTTTCTCCTTAAAGAACATGCTGACAGCCTTCGCCTTGGCATGGAGGAGGGAAGGACAAGCTGGAGGTGGACTTCACATTTTTCTTTAATTCCACACTCACACATGTTGGAATATGTAAAATTGTTTCTCATGAGAAACTAAAGCTTAGTGTTAAGAAAACCTTTCCGGTAAATGTTGGTGCTTTGAACAGTACAGTTAATTTAATTACAGATAATTTACAGTGCTATATAGTTTTATTAATTCATTGTTAATCTGAGGGTAGGAAGAGATCTGGGGTTGGGGTGGGAGGTCAAAGGTTTGCTGGTATCTTGTGCCTCTGTGTTTGTCTTTCACTTGTAATCTCTGTACTAATGAGAATTAGTTCCAACAGTTGGCTGCCCGCAAGAATACCCTATTTTATCACAAGAGTTTCCGGTTCTATACACCATTTCTCCATCACTATGAATACATGCTGGAAGTATTAGTGAGTATTATTTTACTTTGCATACTCTAAAACATTTCTTTTTCTGTTAATTTAAATTGGGCTACACTTTTTTTGTTATTAACCTAGATATTCAATACTATAGACAATATTTTTCAGAATTACCCCTAGGTTCTCATTTTATAATACCATTTTTCAAAATCCCATTAGTGGGATATGAAACAGATTCAATACGTTGTAACTAGAATTTTCTATTAAAATAGTATAGAGTAAAAAATATCAGAATACATTCCACATGTTATTACATAAAATGTTTAAATTTTATGTGCATGGGAAGGGGAGGTAGGGACTGGTTCATAGTGTGACAAGCATTTCTTACTGTGGAAAAACAAAAAAAGGGTTTAAAGATATATTTTAGAACAGAACAAACACACCTCCTATCCACTAAATTTCTGCTGTGTAGTTTGTTAAAATAAATGTTGCATTGTTTATTTTCCCCCTTGTAACTTATTAAAATAGCTATTAAGTTTAAATAACATAATGGTTACATATTGGACATACAATTTTACTTTCACCAAAACATTGTTTTAAAACTTAGAAAACTTAGGACATAAGTCCTAGTCAGCCTTGTCCCTGTATTAACCTTAGTTTTTACTGGGCGCTCCCAAATCTCTCCCTCATTAGAAGTTCCTAGCCTCTCAGGCTATGATTTGCTTATTTAAAAATTGGGTGCACTTCACTTCAGGTTCATTATCATTCGTGTTACATACTCCCACCATCACACGGCTGAGGGGAGGGTCCTATGGTCACCTCAGGGTCAACACGGGGCTTTCTAGGGATCACAAGTGCTTTCCTCTCATGCCACATTTTTCAGAGGAGACAGAATGTGCAGGAGGTGAGGCTGGCTTGCAGGCCTGGCTGGAAGATTTGTTTCCTTTTAGGACACCTTCCTCTCCTTGTCACCCACCCTGTCCCTATCAGCTGTGATATTTTCCCAGAAGCTTCTAATTACCTTTATGGAAACTGGATAACTTTTCTTATATTTTAATATGGCAAAATTCTAGCTACAGCCATGAGATGTTTAAACATCCCAGAACAAGACCATTGTCAGAAAGTATAATTTAGAATGCCTGTGGATATTTGCATTAAGAGAACAGAGAGACCATGTGTGCCTTTTTTTCCCTCTATTCCTAAAGAACTCATTCACCTCTTGAGACCTGGGTCACAAACAGAACAGATCATGAAGGCCCTACCAGAATGCACTAATAACACACAATGAAATCTGTTTTTGCAGAACTGTATAGACTCTTGCCTTGACTGACAGTCTCTGGTCCCAAGCAGAGAGGTACAGAGCTCAAAATGTCCCATCAATTTAACGTACAGCCATGGCCACTCAGCATCTTTTAAACCATAATTTAAAAAAATACAAATCTAAAGAAAGCCTTTCATTATTTTATGTATCAGACATTACCCTTGGTACCAATACCTGTTAATAAGGTGTTAGAGCCTCAAGGGGTTGTATATCCATGTAAAGTGATTGGCACCCAGCAATTGCTGCCTCTCCTCCCTCTCTCTCCTTTCTGACCAATTAAATCTCTGCTGAACACTTATTTACCTATGTGGATGTTCATTCATAGATGGATAATTATATAGCTACACGTGAGTGTATTCTACATTCATTTTGATTCAGATTTTATGCATGAAAATGAGCATATATCAGAGGTCTTGGGCCTTGGGGAGAAAAATAAGCTATTACCTAAGGAAAGTGGACAGCCGAATAAAATGAAAGTAGCAGAAATTGATCTTTTTCCTAAAGAAAATAGACAATCGGATGGATAAGAAATAGATACAAAACCACAAACATATACACACATGCATATGCATACACACATAAATATATACATCATCTATACATAGACATATAGACATATGCATATGCATATATACATCATCTATACATGTACATATATACCTACCCATATACTGTTATTTTAATAACACTTTTGGATACGTAAGAAAATATGTGCAAGGTAACTAAGTTACAGAGTATAAAAATAAAACTAACACCCACGATCCTACCCAACTTGAAATGTGAATAACTGCCACACCATTGAAACCCTTTATGTTCCTTTCCATTCTCATTTCCTACTGTCCCCACTAGACATAATAACTATCTCTAATTTGGGGATTTTCTTCCTCTTTGCTATCTTGTTTTATTTTTTTAATAGCTTAAAGCTCATCTGTGTCTGCCCTATAATAATAAATTGTTTGATTTTGTTTTACATTTTATAAAAATGAAATATAACTAAAGTACTTTGTGCCTTACTTTTTTGTTCCACTTCATGTTTCTGTGATACATATTATTTATGCAGAGGTAGTTCATTCATTTTCACTACTGTATATCACTTCTTTGTGTAAGTATAGTGTAATTTATTCATTCCTTATTTGGGTTATTTCCTGCTCTATAACTATTCATGTATATGTATCCTAAAACACAGAAGTAAAACAGCTGGGTCATAAAATGCATATCCAAATTATTTTCCAAAGCTATGGTACAATTTTCTCTCCTTTCAACAGTAATAGGAGTTTCCAGTTTGCATTTTCATTCAAATACGGCATTGCCAAAGTATCTCATCGTGGTTTTCCTCTATTATGTTTTTGTCAGTTTTCTTAACTGTTTTACTTTCAAATCAAGGAATACAGAAACCTAAAAAGGAGCAACATTTTTATGTAGAGATAAAAATGATGAGGACAATAGAAAATAAAATAGAATTTTCCAATTTCCGCTACAAGTTTCAAATTTTCTACATTTCAAGGCTACCAGGTTTCATTCTCTACATTTTTCCTCTAAAATATAGCATCTTACCTTCTTTTCTTTAGGTGACTTTGTTCCTTTTCAAATCCGTGAAGACCAAAAGAAAGATTTAAGTTGGAAGCATATGAGCTAGATGGTGATGTGCAAGACTGCTGGGCTTCAGTATTTGATGTCACTTCCTTGTTCTCACTCGCTGGGTACATGCCAGGGCTGGTTTCAGCGGCAGGGGTATGTGTGCAGCTCTGAGGTCCCAGGGAAGAGCCCATGGAGTCAGGGCAGGTGTTTGCTGTGATCCCCTCTACGTTTATATAGTTAATATCCATATCACCAACCTGGGAGTCAAAAGGAAAAATATTTGCTAAGCAAAAGCAGGACAGATTGGCCTAGCTAAGAATAAAACTTTCCTAATTTAAAAACCTCTCCACTTTATCTTTTTTTTGTTTTGTTTGTTCTTGCTTTTGTTTTGTTTTATGTAAGCAGAGAATTCTTTCATGATATGTTTTTGTTCAGCTGGCTGCTATCCCAAAATTCACAAAGGAAAAGGACCAACTGAGCGTTTTAACATTTTATGAACCACTGACTCAAAATGAGAGGAAATGCTTTAAATACTTGAGAAACGAACTAAAGAGCAGGCAGCTTTATTTTAAAAGTAGTGTATAGGAATTTGGGTAAACAAGGTAGTGGTGGTCACATAAATCTGAGTCCCCCAAGAAACACTTCAAACAAAAATAAGAATAAAACTACCTAAGATGAATGGACTTAGCATACCTAGAAGACAGAAAATGCCCTAAACTTTAAATTACCTGGAAATAATAAAACAAACACCAAATCTCAGAAAACAACCCATCATACTCTTGGCATAAACCTTTGCAGAGAGAACGGGAAGTCTGCAAAACTCTGCATAGCAGAGACAATGGGGGTGGCGGGTGGGAGTAGAAGACCTAAGGCTGGTCTAAAGATTATCATGGGAAGAAAAAGTCCACGTGTGAAAGAGGGTTCCAGCTGACCAAAGCACTTGCCTAAGGAAGGGGCTTAAAACTACAGGTGAGCCGAGGTGGCAGGCATCAAAAGGCATCCCTTCTGGGAGAGAAGACAGGAAAAAGAATGAGAATGGCACCATTTAGAGATATAGGGGGGTGAACGGGGAATGAAACAAGACAAAAATTTAGGGTCCTAAATCAACCATCACAATGATAGCTTACTAGGGCAAAAACAATCAAGGAGCGCTCAGACTGGTGGGTGCGAGTCAAATGAGTAATAGGGTACTTAGAATGACTCAAACCACCTCCCACAAATATTTAAAGATTGTTATTTACATCACCAGTAAAATTATCAATGCCATGAAAGATGACTAAGGAACAGTCCCAGGTTAAAGGAGACTAAAAAGGCCTGACAACGAAATGCAACACAGATCATTGAATTTACTCTTCTGCTGCAGAGAACTATGAGACAACTGGTTAAAATTGAATCAAGTCTGTACACTGCTAACAGTACTGTATTGGTGACGATTTGCTGATTTTGATTACTATACATGCTTATGTGAAAAAAAGAAAATGTCCATGTTTTTAGGAAAATACACCATGACTGGTTGAGGAGTACAAGTGTACCATATTTTCAGTTTGCTCTCAAATGGTATATGTAATATACATACACAATATATTATATACAATATATATTTTAAGCATTTGCATGCATGTAAACATACTTAGAGGATAACAAAGTAAAATATTAACATTTGGGGAGTTTTGATAAAGAGTATACAGGGATTCTTTGTATTGAATTATGTGGGCTTGGAATGATGACCAAAAAGCATTTTTTTCCCCAAAGTAGTTTATGTGACAGAGTCATTTTCACAGTAGTTTTATCATGTGAATTTCCGCATCAGATACGTTGATAACCTTGAGAATTCATGGGGAACAGTATTGCAAACAATCTAGCAATCTTTTTTAGGTTTCTGTGCCATGTGGAAGGAAATTAGATAAGATTTTTTTTCCAGATACTGCTAGAAATTATTTTAAATATTCAGAATTTGGACTCTTTGTCCTTGCTATTCAAATGGACATAGGGACAGTAAGGAAAACAATATGATAACTATACCACAGTGATAGAATGAACTTTATAATTTGCATCTATATTTTCCGTTTTATTTCTGTTTTCATTGCACACATTTGGCAATCTGCTGCTATATTTCAGGTTGTCAATCGCCTGTTTGAGTTCTCTTTAAATGTATGTTTCACATTATTAAAGCAATACTTCTCTCACTCAAAACATTCCCAAATTACATCCTAACTTCATCTTTAGTTTGTAAAGTTTTGTGCTTTTAATGTATCTTAGAACACATAAAGACATGGTTTCCCCCCTCCATCATATCCAGTCACACAGAATTTTAGCTACTTAAGTGAAAATGTTACAGTATCCACTGAGGCTCAGAACAAAAATAAGAAGGACTCAAGAAGTATTAACACTTAGAAAATATGGCAACAGAATAAAAGCATTAAAATCAGAACATGGCTAAGACCACACACAGTCCAATTAGCCTGTATCTTCAAAGGATGTCCCCAGAACTCCCACTTCGTCCTAAACTCTGTGCCTCATCCTGGATTTCATAACTAAGGTTCACATTCAGCTGCTTTATGCCAAAAAGCATACTGGTTACTTATAGACTGATGTCCATGTCCTGGTGTTCATTCCTCTGCCATTTTGAGTATCATCCCAACCTATGCCTTTATACAATGCATTTGAGGTAACAGTTTAATAAAACACATAAAGAAAAAGCAGAAGTATTCAACTAAGGGGATGAAACTGAGATGTACTGGACAGGAAAAAGTTTATACCACAGCAAACACCTATAAGTAATAGGATATAATACATGTATCCAAACAAAAACAAAATAAGGGTAAAATACCTTATTTGCTAAATGAGCATATATATGGTGCATTTATATGGAGACTGGGTTTTAAAGTCAGTGGATAAGACAGAAATTGCATTGTCCAAATTATCCTTGAATCCCTTAAATCTCTTATAAATTAGAGTGTGCAGCAATCTGCAGATCTAAACCTACATTTTAATTTTTATAAATATTGTATTAAAATGTAAAGGTCACTAGCTAGAGAAAAGAACAACGGATGAATCTATACGTAGATGCACAACCACCTGCCTTTATAAGATCTGACTCACAAATCCCTATCAGGCAATGGGTGGGGCATTCTAAAGGATTCCAACTTCCCTGTAACATGACACCATTATGTTTTAATATTAAAGCTCTACAACCTTATTACATGTTAATAGGTGCGTTGTAAAGATTAAGCAAGTAATTTATGTGACAGCATCATATGGGGTTGCAATCAAACTCTTATTCATCCAGCTCTTGCTACATTTGAATACAAATACTGCTAAAGCAGATCGTACACACATTATTTTTTTTTTAAACTGTAGAAAGGAAACTGGACTCCCAATTATCATTTCCTATTCTGACCGCACTGAAGAGCTCTCATGTGCCTCTCATCCGGCGGTGTCAGAAGCCCCCTCCCCCGTGGTGTGCCTTGGTGGGGTATGGTGGGCTGCTCTCTGAAGGGAGGACCTCAGCTAAATGCTCACATGATGAGATCCCACTGCAGCATCACTGGGGCTGCACTTCGGTTAAAATTTTCAGAGGAGCACAACAATGCTGAACGTATTTCTCGTGTGCTCAGGCTTTGGAAGGAGGGCAGGCCGCCCTGTAACGTCATTCCTGCCTTACCTGATCTATGACCATGCAGTTAGCGTAGACTTCATCACCACCGTTCAGCATGTCAGAAAGCTGGCCTGCAGCAGGGGACGTGGGGCGCTGCTTGGATTTTTTGAGGACATCGAAAGAGCGATCTAGAGGAAAAATGAAAAAACAGGAGAAGTAAAGTGGAATGGATTTATTTTACAGTCAACCTTTACCTTCTTAATCAAACTATAAGGGAAAACAATCAAGGTTGCATTTTTTTTTTTAAGGTGGCATCATGTTATCTTCACTCATTCAGAACTACATGCAAATATTTTATTTTCTACATCTAAACTACCTCGGTTAACTACAATCATCGTAAAGAATGCATGGATCTAGATAAGTATATGCCCATTTCAGGTACTATTTTTCCAATTATGACAGATTCTTATACAATCAATGAGATTCTTGCTTTTAGTTCCTAACAGATTAAACCAAAATTCACTTTATGAATCACCTGGAAGCATTAGTGATTGCATGTGATCCTTAGGTGCCATTGACGTGTTCAGGCGCCAGGCCCTTTCCTAAAGGACCCAAGGTAGGACAGAGTCTAGCAGCTCTGGTTCTGTCCTGTCTGCTGAGTGCGCATACGCTCATACAGAGAGAGTTTTGCTTCTATTTCAATTACAGAAATGTTTTTGCTTGCTTCCATGTTCTCAGCTTGGTTCCAAAGGGATGAGTCTGCTCAAAGTTAAGTCCCAGGGAATTCAGATGTTACTATATTTGTAGGGAACATAAAGATGAAGGCAATAAAACACAGTCAAGCCAGAACGCTTCATTTCCTGTGCATTTGGCTAAATGACTTAATCTCCGGATACCTTTACAGGGTTTCCTCATCTGTAAAAGTAGATTGTTAATATGCTTCCTCATTGTATAGTTATGAGGATTAAATTAATCTAGACATGTAAAGCACTTAACACATGCCTAATTACCATAGTTTGCCATGTATAATGCACTCCCATGTATAATGCATACCCCACATTTTTGTATGCATTATACATGGGATTATTATACCCATGGTATGTAATCATTATACCCATGTATAATGTGCATCCTTATTTTTCCCTCAAAAATGTGGACAAAAGGTGTGCATTATACATGGCAAAATACAATACTTAGTGCTTGATAAACATAGTCACTATTACTATATTTTGTAACTAATAGTAGTTATTTTAATCATATTCAATGTGTGGTACAAAGTTATTAATACTAATCATAGGGTGTTATCATAATAAATTATCAATATCTGTGAATGACTTTAATAGGATTCAAAGTTACAACGCATCCATGGCAAATGTCACCCTCACTGACAGTCCGTGACATTCTCTTGAGTGAGCACAGAAGGAACAGTGTCGCCTCTCTTCCATCAGCAGTCACTTACCCAGCCACCTGTCTCACCTCTGTCATAAAACCCAGGTAAGCCCATGGAAGTGAATCAAAAATCTTTTTAAAAAATTAATAACTGTTGGGCTGATGTGCTAGGAATAAAACATTCTATCTTTTTATAGAAGTTACTGGATGACATTATAGAAGGTACAAAGATCTAGGAATTGTATGAGCCAAATGGCCCTGGCTTCAGATTCTACATCTAAATCTCTCTCTTCTCCACAGAACATCCAACTGAGATTTTTATTAAACCCCTTGAGGAAATAGACGATGTACATGTAAAATATTATCTTCTTATATCTATCATGTCTTCTTTTATCAATTTAAATAGCAAGCAATATAACATACAAAGCCCATAAATACTTTATGATCAATTACTACACATTTTCATTCTAATTACACAAAATAAAAGCGTGTTCCAAAGGTTATAAATCAAGAACCTGACAAAACCCTTACAATGTGTTCTGAAGTTGGAAAATACTTGCTCATTTGTCATTTTACGGAATGTTTGAAAAACAATCATAAATAACTCAACATGGCCCTCTGCAGTGTAATCAATCCAGCCTAACTGCTCTCATGTCAGGAGTTCACAGACTGTAAAACACCTGGCACGTCTGCCATCACACGTGGGAGTCTGGTTGTGCCCTTTTTAACCACTTCCATCACTGCCAAATTAAAACTTCATTGATCACTACGCTAAGGAACTAGCAAGATATTTAATAAAACAATTGCAAATAATTTACGGGTTTCATTTTTACAACACAGAACCAAATGAAATACTACCCCATACGGTCTGGCGCCCGTGAATGCATTGCCCTGCCATCCAACACCCACGTCCCGAACGTCCAACAGAGCGAGCTCTGTGTTCGAATCTCTGTTCAAGGATGAGCAGAACCAGGAACTACTCCTTTTTTCACATGTGCAAGTTGAAGTTATTTGGATTCACCTTTTCTTTCACAAACATATCTACCTGGCCATATGCAGCAGGTCAGTATCTACAGGAGACCATAGACAAGTGGTAAAAATCAACTCAAAGATGGCAGAGTTACTTTGACCAAGCTGGAATATAATTTGTTTCCTACATGATTAATTTGACCAATGTGTTTTTTTTTAAATGATGAATTTATTTACAAAAACAGGTCCAAAATCTCTTATCTGCAATTCTAATATCCAGAAATCTCTAAAAATCAAATCTTTCTCGCCTAAGTTTGGTTCTAAAGCACATGTGGTGGCAAAGTCTAAGCTGAGCTCACACAAGGCCATGCACAGTCCCTGTTTACCCCCATTCAGTGTGAGCGTTCACACATCCTGCTGTGGAATTACTATTAGGCTTGATGGCGGCATCGCCCCAGTGTTCCCTGTGGGCGTCATATCCTACACACTATAGGAACTATACCAAAAAATCTCAACAGTCCTAATTCCAAAACAAATCTGGTCCCAAGAGTTTCAAAGAAGGAATTGTGGACCTCCACAAAATTAACCACAGAAGATATTAGACCAAGATTTTGTCATTCCCCTACCCAATTCATGATTTCCATGTCTACATCTCACCTGTATTATTATATTCTCTACTACTTGTCTTTAGATTGACTCACCTTTTTCTCTTTTAATAAATCTAATTTTCAAAGAAATAACCTATCTCCAACATAAACAGAAAGCCAGTATTCCCTGTCAAATACAGAAGGCAATTATACATATTAAAATAATAAAAATAAAACAAACTACATTCTAAATACAGTCACCTATGAAAGCTGAGCAACTACAATGCCTGGTCTTTATCATAGAGGGAGATTCTGAAGGATTCAAGAGATGTCAAGATGCAGTGGTGCCACACTGACTTCCTCCTTGAAAAAGCAGGAAGAAGGTCAAGAGAAATGTAAAAAAGAAGCATTGCCTTTACTATGTAATTTGATGTCATCTAATTTTAGGTTGGGATATCATCTCCAAGATTGATGGTCCCCAGAAGAATTTACCTTACACTTTGGAAAACTTGCCTAGATATGTAATCATCCTGTTAATTAGGTAGTGATGATGCCACTGAGACAGTAAGTCTTGAGGAGGTGAAGGGGGGGGTACATGACTATATCGCAGTAAGAAGGGGAAATCCGTCTCCTCTCTAGATTTGTCACCCATTACCTGCCATGTAGATTTGCTGGGTTACTCATTGCAACTATTTATAAAATTGGCCCAAAAGTTCTTTTCATTATAACTCTCTGGGGCAGCTGTAGCTCCCACTTGTCAAAGGACACTGACAGATAATAGGATCTAGAAGTGAACAGACACTGACAAATCAGAATGACAGACTTATAAGACCTCCACTCTTTTATTAACTACAGCAATAATCACTGCAAATAATGGGCTAGAGATTAGCAGAATAGGATTCATTGTGAAAAAGTCTCTAACAGTACTTTCAAATGAACATCAGCTACCTATATTAAAATGGCTAGTTGCTGCACTGTTTCAGCCCATAACAAAGACAAAGCTACAATGTTTCATTTTTTTTAAGAAACCCGATCTTTTCAAGATTTTCAAGATATGATTTTATTGCTTCCATATGTAACCACTTTAGTAGTAATTAAGTGAAAAATTATTGCCAAAAAAGTCTTTCGGGTTCTTTTTCCAATGAGCCTGTAGAAATAATTCATAGTAAGAATGAGGTTTCTGTCTTAAATTAATGCTGTTTTTTTTGACTTGGGGTGGGGAACATGCAACACAATATTCAGGTGATGTAGTATAAAATTGTACAGCTGAAACCTATACAGTTCTATTAATCAATGCCACCCCAATAAATTCAATAAAAAAATTAAATTAAATTAATGCTATCTTGTAAACAGTTAACTCAATTCCCATCCAAATAGCTGCAAACTTTAAATTAGTGAAGAGCAAAGCATTGTGGTAGTGAAGAGCAGATTTAAGGCCCCACTCCATCATCCATTAGCTGCAAGACCTTGGGCATATTACCTAACCTTCTGTACCTCCACCTCCTATCTGCAAATTGGGGATGATACTATGTCTACCTCTTAGCATTGTCTTAAGGATTAAATGCTTCATATTTCAAGTGATTAGAACGTAATCTGACACAAAGAAAGCACTAGGTAAATGCTTGATACTACCATACACATAAATGAGGTTGTATTGTTTTAATACTTTATGTAGTTTTAATTCTGTAAAAAAATGATTTCAGCCATGGTTATAACTTTACATGTTTAAAACCAACCCAAGGCAACTGGAATTCACAAAATGTTCCATTTACTACACAAAGAGCTTTAAAAGTCTTGTAACTCTTTTAGTTCTGGCTTAGCTCATGTTAAGAAAAGACCGTCCTGAACGTGGTAACTGAAAAACAGAAGTCAAACTACACATTGAGTTACCTGCAATGACTCAAGGGTGAGGTCTAACAAAACAGGAGATACTCTAACAGCTGAACAGACAAAGTATAAAGTCCAACCCTCAGTGACAGCGTTTCTCAGGAATAAAGGGAGGATGTCAGAAACTACTGTGTTCTGACATGAGGAGGTGGACCTGGGCCAGGATCTCCCTGCAGAGTGCCTAGAGGATAAACAGTAACTCGAGGGGATCCCCAGCTTGCCCCTCTCCCATTATTCTCAGTGCTTTGTAATGTGATCTGTGGAATTCGACAACAATTTCCCGAAGCAGCATTTTTTTCATTAGCACTTGCTTGCTGGACTAGAGGCTCTAGTTAGATGACACCAGAGAGACAACT